CACCGCTTAACTCGGCAACGGGTGCCTAAGAGCTGCGACTAAAATCCATTATTTGATTAACTCGCGTTTCGATCGCACTTCGTCATATTGTCACACATCAAACATACAACCAAATTTCATTTGTTTTTCAATCTTCAAATTCCGCAATTGATTAATTTGTCCAAATACCTGGATTAACTTCACTTTAAGGATGTTGACAATGGTTAACCAATTACATGAGACTCATTCAATATAGATCAATCAACTAGTGTCTTAGCGAGTACATATAACTTGCTGCTTGCACGACTGAAACGGGCCCATATATCATTATCAGGGGCGCTATATTTGCACGCGTATATGGTGATATATGGACGTATTTACAAACTTATACGGCCAGATCTGACAGTTTTTGCCCACCTATATGGCGAAATAGGCTGTATTAGCTCCCATATCTGGCGAAATACAGCCCTATTTGACTGCTTATATTATCTTATCTGAACGTATATAAAACATATCAGGGCATATCTGACATTTTCGTACAGGGTATTACGTCGACCTTAATTCTAATTAGCGCTACCTTTGTCGCACCATCGAGCTTCCAGCTTTTACCGGCACCCCCCCCCCCCCCCCCCCAAACCAGCTGCTTTTTAGGCGAAAGGCCTAGTGAGTCTCGGAATAGCGCATCCTCGTAGCAGTCCGCGCCCACGCACACACTCGCCCAGTCGAGCGCATAAACGTTAAATATGCACACCAGCTCGAGAACACGAGAACAGCACACGACATACGGTTAGAAGGATAGGTTCAGGTCGCAGAAATGAGCGTCACACATTCCGACTTGCTCCGACATCCGGATTCCTAAATGGGTCGCTCGCGCGAGGGCTTTTGGGACAGTCACCGCCATCGGTCTGCGCGCGTCGACGACGCGAATAGAGTATGCTCTATTCCGTCGTGAGCTACGCTGACGGCCGGTCGGCCACGCTGCGCTACGTCGCGTTGCGTATGACAACAGTGTATATAGACGCATTTTCGGAGCCAGCGTCGACCAACGCGATCGGGCGCGTGGGCTCGTCAACGTTACGGCGGAGTATAGACAGCCCTTTAAGCACAATCCAAACCAACGCGTTTTCGTGCGCGCGTAGGTCGTGCGCTTCCCGGAAATTGCGTATTTCGTGACGTCGCGCTGATTCCTTGCTCCTTCCGGGCGCGCATAAGAAAGTTGGGTGATTCCAACTTCTTTCTGAACGCGCACGAAAACGCGCTGTGACGTAGCAGGGCGCTCCTCTCCCACATCCTCTCCCGGCCAATCGGTGGAGGGCACTAGCTCCGGCTCCGCATTTTTTCGCCGTCTGGTGCAGACAGTCTCCTCTCACCCGAATGCGCACCGTCCTAACCAACGCGCATGCTTGTGACTCAGAAAGCGCACCAAAAACAGCAAAAACATCACGAAATACGTAATTCCCGAGAAGCGCACGACCTACACGCGCACAAAGACGCGTTGGTTTGGATTGCGCTTTACGCAGCGCAGCGCAGGCATAGCATAACAAAACGCTGCTTCCACGGCCGGTACTACAGGGGGCGCTCTGACACACTCTTCTGTGGGCATGGGAAGTACACGTGAACAGGCTAGATAGATAGTCGTAACATTCCTCTTTTGAGATTGAATCACTCGTACTGTCTGTAAGCAAACATCAGAGCTCAGTATCGTATCTTCTGAATAGAACCTATTTCTTGCGCTTTTCAGTTTGCTTAGATAATAACAAGTAAACAGTTAATGTTATGGTCAACTATTAATATTAAAAAAACTCCAGAGACTCGAAAAACGTAAATGGTATACTGAGCTTTGAAAATATATTTTTGCTTCTCATGATTAATTCAGTCTTGGGTTAAAAAGTAATTAGTTACAGTTACAGATAGTCCGTCAAAAGTCGATTCAGGCTACAGCTACAATTACTTAAAAATAGAAGTAACTCGTTACAGTTACAGCTACTTCGTCATAGCAACTTAGTTACTCTCAAAATACTTCCATTTTGTTTATTTAACTATGAAAACATTGATGATAATACATAATGACCACGATTTATATTTATTCGGAACTCTAAAAAACCTCTCATTTCACTTTTTAAGATATGTATCAGTATCGTCACACGACATTGTTGAATCAAAACGTTTGCTGCTTCGATACGAGGTTGACTTAATAATAAATTATGTAGTTCATGTAAGGCTGCAGCAACTGCTTTTCAAAGTTATCATCAATTAGCTTTACCTTTTTGATGCCATCCCCTTCTTCGCTAAAGAGGAGTTGAACGGGTGCGCTGAACCCAGTGAAGTATTCAGGCCTAAACATCTTTCCTAATGGTGGGAATGTCGTTGGGGCTGGAGAGCGCTGTCGAAGTTCTAACCTTCTATCGTTCCGTCTCCGTGCCTGGCGGTTGTCTACAGAAATGGTAGTCGAAATTCACCCGAGGTGCTTGCGGAGGTTGGAGGAAGAGGACCTCCCTGCTCGATATACTTTTTTGCAGTGTTTGCAGTGAGTAGTGAAGTTATCGCCATTACATTCATCAATGTCAAAGTGCAGTTCATAGCCGGGCCACGGTAACACTTGCCGTTCGTCACTCATGACAGCCTCTCGTTTGAGCCATAACGGTTAGTTACCATCCTGTGGTTTTCCTTCTTTCAGTGACGTTCTCTTTCCCCTTTTTCAGCTGACAAAAGAAGGAGATATCGATGAACAAACCGGACCATCAAAATAATAGGGAGGGAAGCAGAAGGCTAAAACCATTTCGAACTGAATGAAGTGGAAACAACCGTAGTATCAAAGTAGGTAAAGAAAGAATTGAAAAAAACAACACAAAGTCTTCTTGGAATGCGTTCCCCTTTTCTTTTTCTTTCTTCCATGCAATACGGAACAAAAGACTCGATCGCGGATCACGGGCTCACGGCCCCTGTGAAAGGGGAAGTCGGCCAGTAGAAACATCGTCTGTGGCCCCGGTCAGTTAGTGTCTACTGGAAGCGACTCGCTTTCGCAAAGAAAGCTATCTACGAGAGTGGTGCGGAACCTACGACAGAGGCTCTTGTTCGGTGTCAAACAGTTCACCGTTAGATGTCTTCGCGTCGCGTGTTTTCGTGGGGTTACGTGAAATGGCTCTCTCGCGTGGCCGAAGAGGCCGGGGTGTCCGATGAGGCCGGAAAGGGTGAAGACAGGACGAGAGAGACACACAGAAAAAATGTTGAACTAAACAAATGCTAAATGCGCTTTCCCGCGCGATGAAAAAAAAAAAAACAGGAGAAGAAAAAACGCCTGCCCTCTGTCCTCGCAAAAAAAAAGTTTCGAGTTGCTGCTTTATTTTGTAGCGTCTACAGGGGAGCCCAACCTCCGCACGTGGTCGACCCCAACGTAGTGTTCACAAAATAGGGTTGTGATTTTTTCGCGAAAAGTATCTGTATCTCGGCAGACACTTTTAGTTACTTTTTTCAAAAAAGTATTTAAGTTTTCGCTACAGCCACATTAAAAAAAATGTATCGAGTTACAGTTAAACGTTACCCCAAAAAATGAAAGACGTCCGCCGAATGCCGAATTCGAACGCAGCTGTTGAAGAGGAGAAGGGAAGGGTACGGAGAAGAGGGTATGCCCCTCCTCCTCCTCTTTTCCACCTCCTTCCCCTCCCTTTCTCCTCTCTCATTGCTCCCTCTGTTCCTCCACTCCTCCTCCCCTCCTTCCCTCCGTCTCCCTCCCTCCTCCGTCGTGACGTCACTCGCAAAGGCCTCGTGAAGGTCACGTGAAGGTTGTGACCTTCACTGTGAGGGTCGTGACCTTCACAAGTGGCCTTCACGTAACCTTCACTCCTAAGGTCGTGACCTTCATGTGTGATCTTCGAGACGTCATTCGTGACCCTAGTGACTCTCGTGACATCACTCGTGACCCTCGTGAGGTCCCACGTGACGTCGCGTGTGACGTCTTATGGGAAACATCCCACAATTCAAGGCGCGGTTACGAGTGATGTCCCGCGTGATGTCACATGTGACGTCATTATCGGAAATGTGCCATAATGCAACGCACAGTTACGGCGACGGCGACGCCGCTCAAGCAGGAAACAGGCGCCTAAGAGCTGCGCTCTAAAAGTCACGAGTTACAGAATGGCGATGCAAATATCGCGATACTACACAACACTGAATTAATCAGCATTTTCCGCTTCCTATACCCATAGGTAAAAAAAACTCTTAGTTTTTGTCCAGAGTTTAGATACGACTAGGTTTGCCTATATTAACACCGCGTATGGCTCGTAGCTCGCTGAAGCCTGCAAACACTGAGAAGGTCGAAGCCATGTCGTTGTTTTTTTTAGGGATGGGGGAGGGGCGGTAAGGGGGGGGGGGGGTTTCGAAATTTTACAGCGGAGCTCTTAAAGGGATGCTGAACCGAAAATAGAATTTCAGAACACAACACAGAATCGATATTCGGGATGCTACAAATCTCAAAACGTCACTCATAAAGCGGTATCTTCAACGGATCGTCGTATTTTTGTAAAAGAAGAGCGCGCTCGCACAAGGCCAAAAAGACGCGTGACCTCGGGATTCTCATGTCCTCCTCTTTTCACTTTGACTCCGCGAGGGCGCGGAGAGGAAAGGGGGGCCGAATCCATTTCTCCTCCTTCTCAATTCTTCTGCGATAAGATGACGTCAACATTCTTCCCTCATCCGTTCCTTTACTTTCCATAAATACGGCCGTGCGCTCGATATATGGCTATATAAGTGATGTTTCGTGGTTTATGGCGCCCTGTTGAACACTTCTACAAGCTTATTTTGTGAAATCTGAATTTCGGTTCGGCATCCCTTTAAAACAGATACCGTTCATTAAACTCCTTGTTCTGGATGATTCTTCACGGACGGTATGTCGGAACGTCCGCAGAGGATTTCACAGAAATGTCAGAATAACATTCAAGGCACTGTAACCAGATTATACGCAAGTCGTTAAGCGATTAAAACCAAATCGTTACCGTCCTTTTTTATCTCTTCTATGTCTATAGGTGTCCTTCTACAGTGTCAGCCGAGGGACTACGGTAAGGGCAGCGTGGTCTGTGTCTGCGACACCACGCAATGCGATTTCATCGGCGTGGTGCGACCGGAGCAGTCCGGGGTGATAGCCGTCTACGAAAGCAGCAAGGCGGGGAAGAGGTTCGACAAGACCACACTCAGCTTCAACGAACCTGGTAAGTCTGGAAGGCGCAAAGACCGCATGTCCTCTTTAAAAAATATCATTGCGTCTAACCCTTTTGTAAATCACAGTTTTAGGTAAGTCACTTTCGAAAATGAAAGCCGTTTACAACTCCCTGTAATGCCGATTTAGAGCGCAGCTTTTGAGGAGGAGGAGCGAAGGGTACTGAGGGGAGGTTATACCCCTCCTCCCTCCTCCTCCCTCGGGATCCTGCCTGCTACTCCTCCTCCTCCTCCCCCTTCCTTCTCCTTCACCTCCGCCTCATCCTTCAACCTCCTCCCCTCACCTCCTCCTCCTCCTCTCTCCTCCTCGTTCTCCTCCAGCTCCCTCCTACTGCTGTCCTCCTCGTAGCCGGTCTCCTGCGTGACCCCCCAGGTCACGTGACTTGGGGGGTCACGTGACTTGGGGGTCACGTGACCTGGGCGTCACGTGACTTGGGGGGTCACGTGACTTGGGGTGGTCACGTGACCTGGAGGGATCACGTGACCTGGGGGTCGCGTAACCTGGGGAGGGTCACGTGACCTTACGGTTACGCCGACGGCGACGCCGCTCAAGCTGGAAACTGGCGCCTAAGAGCTGCGCTCTAAAAAATGAAAGCCGTTTACAACTCCCTTTAACGTCGAATTAGAGCGCAGCTCTTGAGGAGGAGGAGGGGAAGGTACAGCGAGGGGTCTATGCCCCTCCTCCTCTTCTGCTCGGCTCCCATTTAGGGGAAACTTTTCCGCTGAATTTAGCGGAAAAACATTTCCGCTAAATTTAGTGGGGAAATTTTTCCGCTAGATTTAGCGTTGAATTTTTTTTTTTTTCGCTAAGTTTGGCGACGACTTTTTTCTACTAAATTTGGCGGGGAAACGTTTTCCTCTAGATTTGGCGAGGAAATTTTTCCGCTAGCTCTAGCGGGGAAATTTACCCGTCATGCACCGCGCGGTTAGTAAGACGGCGACGGCGACGGCGACGCCAACGCCGATGCCGCTCAAGCCGGAAACAAGCACCTAAGAGCTGCGCTCTAAAATGAAAGCCGTTTACACTTCCCTGTAACGCCGAATTAGAGAGCAGCTTTTGAGGAGGAGGAAGGAAGGGTACTGAGGGGAGGGTATACCCTCCTCCCTCCTCCTCGTCCTGCCTGCCACCCCTCCCTTCCAGCGGCGTCGGCTTCGCCGTTGGAGTAACCGTGAGGTCACGTGACCCTCGTGATCTCACGGGGGTCACGTTGCCTCACGAGGTCACGTGACCTCTCGGGGATCACGTGACGTCACCGGGGTCACGTGACGTCACCGGGGTCACATGACGTAACCGAGGTCATGTGACCTCACGGGGGTCAGTGACCTCACGGTTACGCCGACGGCGACGGCGACACCGCTCAAGCCGGAAACGGGCGCCTAAGAGCTGTGCTCTGAAAGTAATTTGTTTCAGTTAGACTTAAAGGCAACGATTTTATGATTAAAAGAATTTGCATCTCGTCATTTTTACGTTGTTTATCGTGTCCCGGAGGGTAAAGAAAAACACCTCCTTCATTAAAAATGTCGTCATTCCGCTGCATACTCGCAAAGCGAAAGTCGAGCTTTTTCCCCACCTGCAGCTCCAAGTGGCAGTCGAAGGAACTACGGCGAAAAGATTACGTGACCTCGCTCGGCTCTAAGCTGCAGCTGAACGCCCGCTAATGTCAGCAGAGAGATGGAGAGGAAGCGTCCTCCGATATAGCACGCGGGAACCTACACGGCACTCCGAACGCCGTCACTAGGAGGGGGACCAGGTGTGACCCTGAAGGCTGGGAGTAAGTTGAGGAATGCTCGAAATGCCAATATTTATCTTTTTTTTACGCAACAACTGGGACACGAAGGCGAATTCGGTTTTCTGTTCTTTACTTCAGAAGTGTCAGAGGGCAACTTCCAGAAATCTTTGACCGAAGTCCGGAAATCGTTGCAACCCCTCCCCCCCCCCCCCCCCCTTTAAAGGAGCTGTGCAACGATTTTAACGTTGAAAGAATTTGCATCTTCTACTTTTGACATTGGTTATCTTGTCACGAAGGACAGAAAACACATCTCCTTCCTTCCAAATGTTGCGATTCCGCTGCGTAATCGCGGGGCAAAAATTTTAATATTTCCCGACCTGCAGCCGCCAGCGGCGGCCGTGAGAACCACGCGGCATGACGTCAATGGGGGACTTGTAAAAATATATCAGGGTGTACAAATACCTGCTCGACAAAAGGTAATTCTTCTATAAATTTTGACGAAAGTATTCCTCTAATTGACTGATTTCGGGGTTTTAATTACGTTCATCAAGTTTCATATTTGAACCATATGTTTCTTTTCACTAATAAAAAAGTTTGTTAGTACATGTTTCTGACTATTTAGCTGATTAGTACGTTTTTTTCTATCCCTGACGTCCACCATGGCTGGCAGCTTGTTCCCCAAGATATTGTTTTTCCTAAACCATCCCTATTGGTTGGAATATTCTAGTCTTCCCTGAAACGCTCGGTATCATGCTTACCAGAGGCCGCGGTCCAGGTTAGGACATTGTGTTCAATTTTTATTTTGAACGTGTTAACCGCAATGCTAGCTACGCTTTGCGCTTTTGCTGAGTAAGCTTTGCCGACCAGAATCTAATAATATCTGCTGCTCTCTTTGGCAGCAAATCCGGACGGAAACGACGACGCAATGTCCCTGGTCATTGATTCTTCCAAGAAGTACCAGTCCATCTTTGGCTTTGGTGGAGCCTTCACCGATGCGGCAGGAGTCAACATACAGTCGCTCCCGGAGCAGCTGCAGGAGGCCGTAGTGAAATCTTACTACTCCGATGAAGGTACCATAAAGAGCATCGACCTGTATTGTCTGCCGCAACATAAGATCATCAGTAGATGATCTGCCTCCAGCGCGCGCTTTCTAGCTTCGATAATTGTTCGTCGTGTCGTGCGCGCGGTCAAACACGCCAGAAGGCAATGAACGCGTACTGAAGGCCGAGCTTCTCCTGCCGATGTAAGCCTCAGCCAGGCTGCTCACACGTCATGCAAAGGACACCATGTTCGTTGCGTACATGATGACTAAATATAACGTTTCAAAAGTCCATCAAGCAACATGATCGCCATTGTTTGGGCACAAAGCACATGATTGAACTCGAGTCCCCGAACCTTGACGCAGTACTCGTTCTTAATACCAGCTGAGCGGACTTCATGCTGAACGCTGACGCAGGCCCCGTGTTGCGTACGTTCTCAGCGTAGGTGATCAAGCAATGGCGCACAGGCGACGGCGCGGACTTTTTGAAAAGGTTCTATTATCTACAGACACGCATCAAGGATGCTTACACTTCACAGCGCACAAGAACAGACACACCTCGAAACTTCACTCACACAAAGAAAGTTCTGCACTCACACTGCGCTGAATCTCAACTCTGGTTTGTATTGTGCTTCGTCTGAATCTTCTTTTACTCTTATATATAAAGAACTAATTCAAGCTATGGCTGATATAACTAAGTAACTTTTATTAAATAGTATAACTCTTTTTTTGTATAAAGCTATGGAAGGGGTGCTAACACATAAGCTGTCTAGCATGAGAATGTTCACGGTTTCTATGGTTTCTCGCGTAAGTTTGTTATTGCTCCTGCCCAGTACGGGGCAGTTGGCCAGAAGTGCAGAACACCCGCAATCTCGGCAATGAATGCCTAACCGCCGAATCCACAAGCCTCGCTCAAATTGAGGCGCCCCTCCACTTCCTCAAGGACGGCGCGAGGGCCGGCACTGGCCAATCGCTACGACGGGTAAGCAGTGGAGGTCGGCTATCCCTTGTCGCGATTGGCCAGCGCCGGCCCTCGCGACATTCTTGAGGAAGTGGAGGGGCGCCTGAATTGGAGAGGTTTGTAAATTCGGCAGGGGGGTGAATGACCTGAGTCGGCCTCTATGGCGTTGTTATTGTGTTCCCGAAGTCGGTCGTTGAGACATCGTTATGTTTGTCCGATGTAGCGCTTTCTACGGGAAAGAGGAAAGAAAAAATCATGAGCCATACCACTCTGTGAAGGTAAATGACCAGCCAAGCTATTTAGCACACGACACATGCCCGCCCCGAGAAGACGGTGGAAACTAGACGTGCGCGACGAAACCGCCATCTGGCGGAAAGTAAACACGCGCGACGGGACCGCCTTTTGGGAGAGCGGAAGGAAAAGAAACTAGGCACGCAAGCGCTTGGAACGACGAAAAAGCGAGTGCGGTGCGAGCGTATACTTGGCCCACGCGGGTCGCACAGCGGCAAATCTTTGAGAAACTTTTATTATCTACCTGAGAGTCTACTGATCTTGAAAATGGTACCTATTGATGACTAATCTACTGAATAGACCTATTACTAAATTACCCAAGCATCAAGGAGTATGCAGAGAATCGTGTTCCAAGCGCCGCACGTGCCGGCGTCTGCAGAAGTGACTGTTCAAAAGCAAAAACCTAAAACAAATGGCATCTTGCACGGGCGCTAGTCAACGCTTTATTTTGGGTATTTACTTCGAATCTTTTATACGGGGAAGGCGTGCGCGTGCGGCGCGTGCAGCGGGATAGCGTAAAGTTTTTTGTGACTACACACGAAAAATCCACGGAACCCTAGCCATATAAACAGCTTCGCTCTAATATATCACTCTCTCTGCTCAAGTAAAAGACTTTGTTTAATGGTTCCTGGTACAACCCGCTGGTCGAAGAGAAGGACCATTTACCTTCTTACAGAAGCTGGAAAGATTATGTGGAGTGAAAAAGACAACGCCTATATTGACTCAACTGTTGTTTTTTTTTTTTTTTTAGCTTGTATAAAAAGTTGTGAAGATAGGGCACAATAACAGGCCTTGTGGTGCGGTCTCTTTGACTGCGTGTCATAGCTCCTTCATGCTTGACTTCCCTGAGTAGGCATTCAGCAACTGCTGTTAATAAAGGCGAAGATATATTTGCATTTCGAAGCTCGTATGTATACTGTGTGCTTGCAGGATTTCTTAAGGGAGTTTTTTAGACAGAATTTTGAACTTTTAAGGTGTGGCTGTTCTTGTGCGCTGTGAAGTGTAAGCATGAACGACCAACTCGCCCAAGCTGAAGGATTGGCCTCAAGGATATTCCAAGCATACCTCTTTCATACATATATGTACGCGTCGAACATATCTGCAAACGGCTTCGTATAACCAACATGACAGGGCCGTCAAACAAGAAAAAAATACACCTCAGACAGCACCTACGTGCTGTCCTTTGTATGACGTATTAAACAGCGTGGTCGCGGCTTTGTGTTGCAACAGGCAATATGGTGCAAAAGTTTTTTGTGAGGCGAAATGTTACACTATTTCATACGAGGCGTTCAGATTAACTATTTGTCAATGTATTAATAACTGATATTAAAATAAAGTGGTAATAGTTTCTGTTCTAAGATTGTTCTTACGCTCGTAGACTTACAGGGAAGAAATCCCGAGGGTTGATGCAAGATTGCTTTAGGAAACAATAAGTAAGCATTAAAGGAATTTCTTATTTTGTTCTTTTTTTCTCCACGGCCGCAACACCTCAACTGTTTTATTGTGCGTCACTGCTCTTTAGAAGTGAGCAGGCGATGTTTTACACTAAAAACTTAATTTTAACTCCGCTAAATTACTGTGTATTGAGCTTCACGTTCCTAGTGGCTCAATTGACCATTCGTTCCTGAAATGTGACAAGGCCGCTAAGAGGAACTGATATCATGCCGATCGACCATAATGGTGTATGTTTTGTACTAAGGATGTTTTTTAGACGTTGACGGATGCTGAACTTTTCCGGATTTGGACTGGACCACGCAGGACTCTCCTACAACATGGGCAGAGTTCCGATGGCGAGCTGCGATTTCTCGGTCCGGCAGTACACGTACAACGACGTGCCCGGAGACGTGAACATGGCAAACTTTGCACTCGCCGCAGAAGACTTCTCAGTGAAGGTGAACGATCAAAGCACTCAATCGAACTAACTTTTGTTGGCTTCTTTAAGTCGCGGACCAATTATACGGCGTCAATAGCGCACTGTCGTGGTGTTCGTCGTGTTTCTTCACGTGTTCTATCATCTATTAACCAATTATAAACATTAAAAAGATCATGAAACGATTTTTAAATCAAACTTCATCCACCGCGCGTCGTAAAAGGTGTGAAAAGAAACCCAAAAACCCAAAAATAGAGAGCCAAAATAATTTTTTTAAAGGAAAACCGGACTCTTTTCCGCCTTCTTTCCTTCGAAAGTTCTCTGCATTTTCACTGCTATGCATCCGCGGAACCGCATCACGTCAGCCAAATCCATGTCGCCTAGTAGATAAGAGCCTAGCTTGCCACACCGCTAGCATAAACAATAAATAGCCGTCGAATTTTTTCTAAAAATTTTGTTAAATAATGTTCAGATCCACATTTTGTAGCATAATTAGAGATGTGACGAAAATAGCCGAATTTGATGATGCTCAAAGCCAAGCGCCATCTATCGTGTGGTAAACGAAGCAAGAGAAAGGCCCTACTGCGCCTGCGCAGTGAACCCACGAGCGTCGTCTGCTGAACGGGTTTGCTCCTGGTCGCGCTTTCTTCGCAGAGCAGACTTTTGTTTTCTGACTGCTCGAGTAGTGTTTACATTGTTTGTGATTGATCGCTCGGTTGCTATGCCGAAAGACTGCAGTTTACAGAAGTGCCCGGATCACAGTTTCTGCAGCGATGAGAGGCGCCGATTCAGAAGATATGTCGGTAGCATCAGCGCCGTCAGCGCATTAAAACCTACCGGCACACCGCCAACTCGCCGCCGCTAACGCTCCCATTCTCCTACTGCCAATTAAACTTCCTCTTCCGATGCCGGCGGACGTCACGACCGTCAAAATTACGCCGCAGCTTGTTTTGCGGTGTGTTGGAGAGGAAGGAAAAGTCGATATTTCATTATTTTTTTGTGTAGAAGTTAATAAACCGAAACGAAAACGGATGCCTGTTCGTCATTCAGTGAACATGGAAGGTTTAATGTAAAAGTTATTTGACAAAAGTAAAAAGGCCATTTCATGGCCCCTTTAAACGCCAGTGACTTGTGCTTTTGACGCTGGTTGATTGGTTGCATTACCTCGTAGCGTCGGCTACGTCTGGACTTAGGCTGAAACGAAGTATAATACACAGGGCTAGGGCAGAGATACTCTAAAAAGTATCCCGCAATAGAAACACTGAGATACATGCATTTTTAGGCCGAAATACAGATGCTGAGATATATCTGCCTTTCTGCAACGGGATATCTTTGAGACACTTTTGCAAAAAACTGAAAAAGGTATATCCCAGAATACAGATGGAGACCCACAAAAAAAATACCCTTTCGTCTCGAACGACGTCATGCTCAGAAAGCACGTATGATAATGCAGTGCCTAAACAACGTCAAATGTAACGCAAGTATCAAGTATGACAAGAAATTAAAATATTCGAATTAACGAGCATTGTACGTGTTTATTTGACAAGTTAATACGAATTTACATACTTCAAAAGGTAACTGATTACACTTTAGCATGAGTAGCTTTTCAAAGAGCTCCTCACCAAGGCACCGACAACTTGGTCTAAGCACAAGACTAGAGAAAGCAAAGCCTCTTTATTCCGCCGACGAACATAAATTCGTTAAAACTGGGATGGCGCAGGCGAGCTGGTGTAGATTTACCATTTTCTTGATCCACCTACCGGGTGGAGAACTGGAAGAACCAAAAGTGCAAGGGACAGGGACAAAAAGACAGAAGGCGTCTCAAACTCAGCTGAAAGTTTATTTAGTTACACTCCCATCAATAACAAAATCCAAACGTCGCCAACCATTCACTGCATTCAAAAAACACAAACTTCAGTTTCAAAGCCCAACAGAAAACATGACCTATTTCCTGGATTTATCATCGTCCATGTACACACAAAACACAGATACGGCAAGAGTGTTTGTGTGTACTAGGACCATGATAAAGCCGGGAAATAGGTGATGTCTTTGGTTGGGCTTTGGACCTGAAGTTTGGGTTTTTTAATGCAGTGATTGGTTGGCGACGTTTGAGGTTTTGGTATAAGTATATGGAAGTGTTACTAAATAAACTGTTCAGTTGAGTATGAAACGACGCCTTCTGTCTTTCTGTGCCTGTCCCATCCACTTTTGGTTCTCCTAGTTCTCCACCCACTCTCAGGTGGTTGAAGAAAATGGTAAATTTGTGTTTAAATGAATAAATACCTGCTTCATTGAAGGGAAGTCCTGGAGCATTGAGACCTCTTTATTGGGATCGTCAATGCAGCCAAACGTTTTCTCATTCACACGGTTCTGCCTTGATATTTCTAAAGTAAGGTGACCACCCGTCCCGCGACTCGCGGGACTGTCCCGCATCGAGGGCTCGTGTCCCGCCGTCCCGCCAGAAATTCCCGATTCTTCAAAATGTCCCGCATTTGACGCTGTCGTAAAATTCACTCTGCAGCTCATGTAGCTACCGAACAACGGGGCACGGGAAGCAGAAGGTTGCTGGTAATCGTGTGAACCGCAATGGTACTCCATTTTCTACCCAAGCATTGCGGGAAGCGACTATCGTCCTTGCAGGAGCTCCGACGCGCATGCGCCGTTCTGCCTCTCCCCTTGGTGGCAAAATATTGTGAAAGAAAAATTGTTAGCCAAAATTTTAAATACAAGTTATTGTAATTATTTTCAACTCGCTACTTCAATCCGAAAGGGTTGCTGTGGATCTTTTTTTTTTCAGTGAAGCCAGTCACGCAAGGCAAAAAGTATGCAACTCACAAAGGTCGAATAGAACATAATCTTAAAAAAATTGTGTAGGACCATGTTGATAAAAGTAAGCGTTGACAGAAACCAGTAACTCGAAAAAGATTTACGGTTTCTCATTTCCATTTGTTGCATTAAGTTCTGCTACAATCGATTTTTATGTTTTCAGTTTCGACACATTTAATAACATATTTGGCATTAAAAGATATGTCACAGGGAGAGAAAATTATTTGAATTTAATTGCTGCTATACAATTTGTAGATGTATAAACAGCACAGGATATTAAATGTGTTAACAGAGCCTCGGTTCGTGGTGTGCGTGTTAATACATTTCCTCTACCTCCCTACCCCCCTTCCCCCCTCCCCCCTTCCCCCCTCCCCCCCCCCTCCCCCCCCCCCCCCCCCCCCCTCCCTGCTCCGCGAGCAGAAAGGTGTTCACCCTATTCTAAAGACAAGGAATCACCGTCTTCAAAGTCCTAGAGGACGTAGACTTGATCCGTCAGAAAATTACCCTGTTTCTTTGGGACATCATGATTTTCAGTTTTGCCGGTAACTTGAAACGCTAGAGGGTGCGTCACAAAAAGCCGTCTTAAGTGTTTCTGAGTAGGGGGGGGGGGGGGGGGGATGTTGTGACAAGAGAGCCGGACTCACGGAATCTACATTAAATGAAAGGCAGGGAAACCCGACCAACTGAACGGGCCATTCTTCGAACCATTTTTGTTTTAAATTTTGGTGACTTCTTTGTGCAAGATATTATGTGGAGGATGTTATGTGATGGCTTCAAACTATAAATTTTGGGACCCTTCGTACCAGTCAAGTTGTGACAACAACTGTATCGAGATTCATAAGCTTGGCAAAGTATTGCAATACAATCGATACATCGTAAAAGTATTTTACTACAGAGATGCAAATACATTTCTCAAAGGTATGTCGGTACAGAGATACGGATACTCGAAAGTAGCTTTGAGCTAATATCACGATACTGCCCAGCCCTGATAATAGATGATATAAAAGACAGTCTGCAGGAACTGGCTGAGGCGTACTTCTTCCTTGTGTAAGGGTCCTGCGAAATTGGTGATAGAGACAGTGTCTCCATACATCTTCGAGGCATACATAGGTATGAAGCAAACATGATTCGAAAATGTTTTAGGCATGACCAGAGATAAGATTGTTATCATGAGCAGCGTGACAGCGGTTTTAAAGCTGGTTCAGACGCTTCCGAACCTGTCACGCGCACAACCTGTGTTTAAGCCTCTTGGGACTGCTTTGGAGAGGCAGCTCAGCAGCAGTGATTGCGGTCGTAAGCGGCTTAAAAACCAGATGCTTCGGAGTCGGTCGTAGTCGGTCGTAAGTGTGTGAACCAGCCTTTACAGTTTACGAGAGCTGCAAACTGAGCGACGCGCTCGTATACGCGCGTAAAAGCTTGAACTGTTAAGCTCAGCGCGGTGACGGCCTTTTGACGATAGCGCGGCACTCACACCACCGAGCGAGAGTGGTATGAAGCCGATGATTGACGGCACTCCCCAAATATTGCATTAACCGTATGCATTCTCAAGAAAAAAGTGTATTGTTACACCCTTTGTCCCATATAATACACCGCAAAACTTCATTTCGACGTACAAAGCCCTATAGTTGAACAAACGACCCCAAATTTTACGAGGGGCTTGATAACGGTGCAATATAACTTATAAAATAGCTAAAGTACGTATCAAACACCACAGAAAGAAGACACCAAGTTTTTACAGTAGGGCCAAGAAAACCCCGATTATTTTTTCTTTGTAGTCACTAAAACGTACATTAGCTATTTTAATAAGTTGTACCACACGGCTATTAAGCCCCTCGTAAAATTTGTGGCCATCTGTTCGACTGTAGGGCGCTCTACGTCGAATTGAAGTTTGGGGGTGTATTATACGGGACAGAGGGTGTAACGATACAGCCTTTTACACCCTTTTTTTCTTGAGAGTGTAGTTTCGTCCTACGGTACTTCGTTTCACTTCAAGTCCGGACGCAGCCGACGCTACGAGCTGATGGGACCAATCAGACACCGTCGAAAGCGCACCATCACGCTGTTCAACCTTGTTTTCAGACACGAAAACAACCTGTGTCTTTGGATTATCCCAAATGCGATGCAACTGCATATGTAAAGTTCTCAGTGACGTCGTGGTTCCAACTGACGTTACGGTGTCGCCTGACACCACAGTGTCACGTCATGTCAAAGTGTCACACGAACTCCTATAGACCAACACACTGTTTACGGACAAGCCCGCCCACACCTATATATATATATATATATATATAGACAGAGACAAAGAGAGAGAGTGAGAGAGAGGTTTTGTTTTGCTTAATTTTGCGCTACCAGATTCCGTACATCAAAAGGGCCTTGAACATGTCGAAAGAAGACGTCTGGGTGTTCGGAAGTCCTTGGAGTGGTCCCGCATGGATGAAGACTTCAGGGAAGCTGCACGGCGCCGGACAACTCAAGGGAAGACCCGGGGGACCATACTACGAGGCTTGGGCCAAGTACATCATAAGGTGCGTCCCCATGGCAGCGGGCTGATAACCATGCTGCAGTTCACACTTCAAGCTGAAGGAAACTTCGATGCCCTTACGTTCGATCTGAGCCAACACCGTATAGTCAAGACCTGTGCACTAGAATTTTGACGACATCACAGTGAGGTCGAGGGAAGACGCAGATTGGACTCGAGTGCTGCGTCAGTGTTCGGCCGGACCTCTCGTTAAATTAAAGTTTGAAATGACGCTGGGCATCATGCTCGGGTCCAATCGCCGAGTTGGCACCATGCGACTGTGATGAAGTTCTATGTACGAAGGGGAGCATGTTCGCATGCCTTCGTTATTAGAGGTGGTGTCGGCACAGCCGAGGTAGTATTCTTCCAGATTCTAGCTCTTTGAAGCTGAGTTCAGTCTCTTTAATTAATGCGCCCAACAACATCGTGAAGGTTTCCTAACGTTCTTTCAAATATGTCGCATTCATATCGACATGTTCGTGTCCTCCACTGGTCGCCCTACTTGACCAGCTTCTCCAGACCCAGACTTGTGCTCGTTACTTGAAAAATGTAATGAATTGCGATTAAAAATTACGGAGTCTCAAATGTAATGAATTACTTTTACAAATTACTTGCGCTGAAAAGTAGCGGGTTACCTTACTAGTTACAAAACTACTTGCACACTACTTTTTCCGTACACTTATCCAAAAAAAAAAAAGAAACAATTTTGATATTTTTCAAAAATGTTCTGCAACATTACTTTTCATTTCTCATTCGCCCGTATTATGGTAGTCCTTGTAAAAATAAAATATTGTATTTAAGAGAAAGAGTGCAGGCGCACTACGTTCACCTGTAAGCTGACAAGGCCCCGAAAGCTGCAACCACACCCGCCATCCCGCTACCTTATGGCCTCCGGAAATGATCCCTGGAATTGTGCAGACAAAGCTAGCGGTGTGCACGCTCAGGAGCAACACCTACCTCCGCTACCAGATTCGAAGCGATTTACGAAAGCTCCCTTTTGCTCGGGTGTTTCGCCTGTTATTCACAAGAAAAAAAAAATACTTGGTTCTAACATTACAATGTATAGCCAATGCAGAATGCAGGGGTCCCAGCTTACCTTGATGTGTTACTGCAGATTAGAGTTTGTTGTTCTTCCTGATGACAATGTGTTTTTTGTTGCTTTTTTTTTTTTTTTGCAAACAAAGTATGCACTGAAACTCTAGGTTTCCGTTCTCCTTAAAGACCCGAATTTCGAACATCTCATTAAGAGATGGCCATAGAGACGACGGATACTCCCTGACCGAAACCTCGACCAGTCAGAGAAAAAGTGGCGTTTACGGGTTATCGATCGTTCATCGGTTCCCACTTTCATGCCAATATTCGTGGACGCCAGGGGAGGGGGGCATGGAGGGCGAGAGAAGCGGTGGTCATCGGTCTCACAAAACAAAAGGGGATCACACAACTTTTACACGTTCTCTCTCCCTCTCTCTGTCAGCACTCTTTAGATGACCTAACCCCCCTCCCCCCCCCCCCCCTTCCGGCCCTTTATGTTGACAGTTAATTGTAAAGTGAATAGTGGACTCGACAACCATGCCCAGACAAGTAGACCAAAAGAAGTCTCGTACGTACCCTCGAAGACGGTGCTCCTAGCCTCGCGCCGGGCGCCTTTCAGCTGTGCCTCAAGAGCGTGCTAGAATACAACACCGCACATCAAAGGCAGAGAGAATTCGACCCCCTCGCGCGAAGCTACATCGTCTGTTACGCGAGTCGTGAACCCGCGAATCGAGGGGGTACGAACCCGCGTTTGATGTCTGTGCGGGTGGTGGGAGACGTCGAAGAAGTTGGATAGAGTGAAACGATGTAGAAGACAAAAATAAATGAAGACGAAGAGCTTTCTTCTGCCCGGGAGAAAAAGAAAAACATGATGGAAGGCGACGGGGAGCATACTCGGCGTTGTCTTGCTTGGTCTTTGTCTTTCGTATATTTGTACATGTCTTGCCCGTTTTTCTAGTGGTTTTAGTGACCGGTCATACAAAAAATCGTGTTTTATTTTCGGCGACTCTCCCCATCCTGATGTTTTCAATTTTGATGAACTCGCTCCCTTTATGCTGCATAATGATCTGCTCGTATTGCTTCAGTTACTGTATTATGCTCATATATTTTTAAAAAATAAAGAGTAATTAAAGTAATCCGTTACCAATATTTTCTAATGAAATTATATTACAAATTACTTCCGAAAAAAATAATGAGGCAATTACAAAATTACTTAAGAAGTAGCGAATTACAAGTAATCCGTTACTTGCAACGAATTACTTCCCTAGTCTGTCTCATGCTAAGAAGGAGCTACCGCTTACCTGATAAGAACAAGAATTGGCTGTCTCTTTGGCGTTTCCCAACGGTGTTTAAATTCATGGCATTTCTTGGGCCTCATTGAGGCTATCCCACTGACGGCAAAATAAAGCAACCGAAGGAAAGATTGCGAGCGTTGGTGAATATATAAAGCGCTCACAGTGTCACGGGGCACAGTGATGCCACGTGATATCCCCGAAAGTGACGTCATGACATCGCGTGACGTCGTTACGTAGAGCCATCATGTCACGTTTCATCGTTACCTGACGACAAAATTACGATTCCACACGATGCTCTTTCCTGACATCCCAGTGTCTTTTGACGTCTTGGTCTCACGTGACTGTGTCATGTGACATTGTGATTTGAGGTCACTGTGTGACAAGACGTTGCAGAAGACTTATAAACACTATTCAACGCTGCTTTGAGACGAAATCACAGTATCATGTGACCCTGTCACGGCTTCGAGGCTTCCTGCACCGCAGTGTCGAACCGAATTTTTTCGACGGTTCGGTTCGGGTTTGGGTTCACGGCTTTCGGCTCAGTTCCGGTTCAGTTTTGGGGAAAAAAAATAACGGTTCAAACCGGTTTAAACCATTGTATTGATAATATATTTTCCTGGTCGTTTTTCCTTGTCATGAAACGAGTAATTATAGTTTGTTTTATTCGTTCGTACAATACACCTCTTATTTTCAGTTACCAAAAATAAAAGATTGCTTTATTTAATTTTGAAGAAACAGTAAGAAAAATCTAGATTAACAAAAAAAGCGTTGTGTTTATAATTATAAGACTTATCATTCATTTGTTTACCTAGGTCGCATATATTTTACCTGAATCGAAAGCATGCCAGAATCCGAAGTGTAGAAGATCGCCTAAAATACTCGATTGGTACAACGTACTTTGCGTAGCAGTATTACAAGTTGAATAGTAGTTGTGCTCTTGAACTAAGATATTAATTACCAGTCCCTAAACTCATCAAATGGGCACCTCGTTGCCATATATATATTGCAAAATATAGTTTACGGAATTCCATTCACAATACATACGACGACTTCAGGCCACAGCTAGGAGCAATAATATTTTCAAAATCTCACAAACGTTTCAGAACCCGTCCTTTCAGCATACAATCCACAGAAAGGTTGAGCGGAAATCACAACACTGGTCTTATTAACTAACATTGTTCTCATTCAGCTCCGTGATGCAGATGAAGAATCATGCAGTAAGAACTGAATCTGGCCTAAAATAGCCCGTACAGAATATATCCCATACAGAAGCGGTCTCAAACTCATTTGTGTGCGGGGGCCAGATAGCCCACTGGAGAAAAGTCAACGGGGGAAGGGGGGGGGGGGGGGGGAGGGGTTGATATTGCTGTGGGCACTCAGAGAATGTGACTGCAAGAATTAAACTGGCCCCGCCCCACCATCGTGCTCGTATTTTTAGTAGGACACGAGAGAAAGCAAGCTGCCGTTCCCGTTGCTCAATTCACACGGAAATTAATCAACCTTAACGTGTCTCGAAAAAAAAAAAATCTTTATATCACTGTTCTTTCTTGACGATATTTCTAGATGCAGCCCAAAAAAATAATTGCATTTTAATTGTGATATTTTCTAAATGCGAGAATCATGAGCTCGTAACTTTATATTTAACAGAATTGTTCCTGCTCAGCGGATCCGATGGCTCAAGGACGCATCCTCGGCTGCCTGAAGCCGAGGTGCATTTTCGATCAAACAGCGAGCACTTGCAGCCTATAAAAAAACAAAAAGAAGTAGCGGAATAGACCTTTTTTGCAAAATTACTCTAACTTTCAAAAGTGAGTATGAACCTATATAAGTAGACGCGCTGCACGTGTTCGCCTTATCCTTATCAAATATTCGAAGTAAACATTCATATTAAGACGTTGATGAACGCGCTTGCGAAGTGCCATTTGTACTGGATTTTTATTTTACAACAGTTAAAAAAGTTGGGTTGTGTCAGCCTAGAATTTAGTCTGCCTCGACGGGCAACTTGTCTCCCGGCTGTATAGATGAGAAATTTAACCAGTGCAGTGCAACCGCTAGCCTGGGGACTTCAACGTGCACACGACCGCACTCCGGTACGATGCTCATCCAGACCGAAATGGGCAGGGGTGGAGATTGAACCCAAGATCCCTGGGTTTTCCAGCGCGAGCTTTCGCTCCACGTGCTTAGAGTTGGTGCGCGCTAGAGCCACTCGATATGGCAGCGTAGCTGCCAGAGTAGCGCCACGCTTTTCCCTGTGCCGCCTCTCACCGTGATTGGTCACACGCGGTACCATTGCAACGAGCCGAGCTGGCTCGGTTCCTTAGCAACCGAGTGACTATTCGTCACGTGACCTCGCAAGAGCCGTGATGTCACCGGTAAGATGGCAGCGCCAGACCGGGTGGATTCGAGTTTGTTCGGTGTGCGGTAGTCGTAATGTGCCGCTGCTTGCCGACGATTTCGGACTTCTTCGTGCTCTCTGACGCAGGTACAACGTGAAGATCTGTAAGATTGTGACTTTATACCTTTTCTGTGCAAGATCGCTCTGGATGTTTGCACCTGTGTGACAGCATCATTCATATTGCCGTATCGGTGCTCATATTCCTGGATGTGTTCGAGGATCGATAAGACATTTTGCATGCAATTTTCACACACTCTTAGCCTTGTTTGAACGTTGGAATGTCTGAGAATCAATGCGAAGTGAATGCGTCGCATGTTGGACCTTGGGAAATTGTTTCAGCCCCAGGTAACCGCGTAATCACAAACTTTTAGCGAGGAAGCTCCTGCTATCTTTACGTTTTGTACTAACCAACGATCTTACGATATAGCTTTTAGGATAACATTTTCGCATTTTCTAGCTTCCTTTGAATGTTGGAATTTCTGAAAATCGAAACGAAAGGTACACGTCGTGTGTGGGGCTTAGGGGAAGTTGTCTCAGCCCTCGGTCACCGAATAATCACAGCAACTTTAAGCGAGGAAGCGCCTGCGACCTTTAACCTTTTGTACTAATCGACGATTTTACAAATTGACAGTTCTGAAGATTTTGATATAACGTGCTTTTTTAGCAATAGCTTGCATTTGATCGCAGTGTTTTGTTTTTTTAAGTGACAAGCTTGCGTTTGCTCAAATGACGTATATGAAATGACCTGCTCTATAAGAATGCATCATCACACACTATTAAATGTATATGCTCAGAGGTGTGTTCGTCTTTGTAATTAACAAGTTACAGACAATTATTTTTTACGAGTGCAATGTTTATTTTCTGTAGCTGGGCCCGTTTTGTACTCATTAATGTCCGTGTGCTATGATGCTATCATCAAGTGTGCATGGTTCTAAATATCTTCTTTGCAATGCCTACAAAAGCAAAAATGACGTCAGCCTACCCCAGCTCACGCATTTGACACGAAAACTGCGTCCCTCGGACGTATGCGCTCGTCAACAATCAATTCGTCAATGAATATTTGAATTCCCGTTCGTGGCCAATGAGTGCACATGAGCGCACTTGCGAATGACAAGTTCTAAGGTGTGCTTAAAAAGCACGGTGGACGCTTGGGGTCATCGCACCGGTGCGTTAGCATGTCACGACCGCGTGATTCACTGTTCTCTTTTGAGTTGAAGATTAAAGCTCAGGAGAAGAAGTTAAATAATCATTTCATGGCTCTTTAACACGGGTATGCGTGCTACACCAGATAAAAATATTGACATTTTGCATGCCGGTAAACTTCAGGACGATCACTTGGCCTGTCGGCAAGAACACCTCATATCCGGCGTCCGTCTCCTTTGATAGCGTTACAATCCTCTGTAGACCACCGTGCTGTCCTTCTTGGTTTAACCCCGTCGACTGCTCATCGCCCAAAACGAGGGTGATACCGTCGTCGACGTCGCTCCCCGCCAGTCGGTGAGATAATCACATCTTGAATGAATGATTGGGCCTTGAAGAGGTATGGTGCTAAGCATACATTCTCTTACTATGGGGCAGTCGAGCAGCAGTCGTCCTGTTGTGGGCAATCGTCCTGTCGTGGCCGGCATAATCGGATTTTGTTTCATAGGAGCGAAGCCCGAAAGTACAAGGACGGTACGTTCGTCCCACGAAGCCGCCGCCATCCCGGCGGCGCGGAAAACCACTCGCCTTGTTCGTGCAGGCTGCAAATCGTCTTATTTCACAGAAGAACAGGCACCGCTCCTCCAGAGGCCCGTGCCGTACCACCATGCAAAGCGTCTTTTAGGTATTTTACCACTTTTCAATTAACGAATGGAGATATCAACTAGATAAAGGTTGCCGCCCGGTGTCGCTAGCAGTACGGTTACCATAGAAACCCCCCAGGCCCAAAATGGAGATCACTATAGGCGCTTCTGACGTCGTGTATCTAGATAATTTTGCGTCGTGTCGCTACTCTGGCAGCTACGCTGCCATATAGAGTGGCTCTAGTGCGCGCTAGCCTACTCGGCCACCGACCCCCCCCCCCTTTTTTTTTTTCTTTATTGTCGGCCACCGACCCCTCTCTTTTACAACAGTTACTGCTGCAGACGACAGTACGCGCACAGCGTAGAACTATACTCGCGCACTCTCCTTTAACTTGAGCAATTTAGCAAAAAGTATATTCTCAGAGGTGGTTTTAGCATGACAAAAACTGGGAAGCAAAAATTAAAACAAAACAGAAAGCAAAAATAAAAAAAAAACGGAATAATAAGAACTCTGTTAATACGTCCTTACAGCATAGCTAAGTTTCGAGCGGAAATGAATCGGCGACATGATATAATTATGGCGTATGCCATTTGAAGGACTCAAGACATGGGAACGGGTCCGGGCTCGAAGCCGGTTGCCTCCGGCCCGCGGGCCAAATCCCTGCAAGGTGCGTGCCGCATGCGGGCCGCATGCGGCACGGGCAAGGGAGGGCAATGGAGGGCAAGGGAAGAAAGAGCACTAGGAACGTTAGATAGGAGGGGAGGTTTCCTTTCTCCACCCCAGCCTTCCTAGTGGAATCACACTTTACCCCCTCGCCTGGCGTTGTGTTCACCTGTACTGCACACAACTCGTGGCACGGAGTATAGGTGTGCGTTTGTGTGTGACGTCACCAAGTCATGTGACATTCTGGTATCGAATTACGTCATGATGTCAAAGGATGCTAGTTCTTCGTGGTGGGTCTCTACGACGGTCTTATTCAGCTAAAAATACAGAATTGGGGATCAAAGAAAAAAAGGAAAAGAAAAGCAAGGCTCATTGCGGCGACTTGCGTAGGTTCTTGCAGGAGTACGAAAAGAACGGCATCCGTATGTGGGGCCTGACGGTCGAGAACGAACCCTCTGTCGGCTACGTACCGAACTTCCGGTGGCAAAGCATGGGTTTCACTCCGTCCACTGAGCTGGACTTCATCAAGATGGACCTGGGGCCAGCGCTTGTGGAGGCCGGCTATGGGCCCGGAAACCTTACGCTGATGATCATGGACGACCAGCGATCCTTCCTTCCAAACTGGGCCAACGTCGTAAGTTTCATTGTTGTTATAGTGCTTTATTGTAAAGCATATAACTTTCTTTAGCAGACACCTTACCCCCAAATTTCACAATTTTGTCTGTAAGTCCGTCCATCATTCCCTGTGTAAGTACATCTCCCACTATACTTAGCTGGGGAAATTGACGTCACGGGACCTAAAGTCCAATTAAGCTTCCTCCCTAAATCTAATGATAAAATTGATGATGCCTGACCCCATCACGGACCCTACTCTGTTTCACAGCTAAATTTAGAGGGAGACTTGACTTCACGTAACCTGAAGTCCCTAACGCATACACAAATTCAAAGTTGAAGCTTCCTCCAGTTGATACCATACTTGAGAATTAAAACAGCGCAAAGGACGAAAGACCGGGTGAAGAAAGATACGGAGCGATGGAAGGCAGTTGCAAAAAAATCTATAACTTGAGTGATCGCCACCTGAAAAGGCGAAGCATCAGTTTTTAACATGACCAAACAACCATCTACATAACGAAATACCGTTGCAACTTTGGTTTCCTCTATGTGTTCTAGGATGATGCGGTCAAGGCTCCCCAGAAACAAACCATTAAGCACGGGAACAATGCACGATGCAATGCAAACCCCTTGTCGTTGCAAATTGATTTTGCCCTCCCAAGTCGCAGCGCCCTGTCTGTGTCTTTCCTCTCCCGGTATCTCGTCTTTGCGCTCTTTAAATTCTCAAACACAAATTCAATTTTCCTGCTAAATTTGACCGGGAAATTGATGTCGCGTGTTGTATGCACCAGATCAGTTTTTCTGCTAAATTTATAAAATATAGGCTCTTCTGCACTCCCCGAAATGACCGTTCTGTATCTTCGAAACAAGATCAAATTATTGTTTGTTAAATGCTGCGTTTCATTATGCATGTGCAGGGTGAGAATGAAAGATATGGTGCAGGTTGAACAATCCTTGCGAGGCTCCCCGCTCTGCCTTTTGGCGAATTCCACTGATGGATTGAATCAATGGCGTAAATCCGCGACGGAGCGTGCGAACCGGACGTAGTCGCTGGACCTCACACTCCACCAGTGAAAAACGACCCGGGACCGGCCGGCGAGCCTCGAATGAGGACAGAACAACGTAAAAATTGTTAGGTGTGCCTGTATATGTACACTGCACTCAGCTATTTCTGCCCACGTGCACGTTGTCTTTTAACACAAACTGTGTCTTGAAGGTGAACATTTCGGCAGACGTCTGCCTGGTTGGGTTAAACGTTACTGTATAGAGTAACTGTATAGCATATGCAGTTTCTCTAGCCTTTCCTGTCAGGTAGCGCCATCTCACAGTGTGTGTCAGAAATAAAAAAGAATGTTTCGTAGGTAGTGCCGTTGAGACGCCCTTCGCTTCTTCCTTGGACGACATATCGTACATTGTGTGCCTACCAGTCTTTGAGAGCATGAACAAGCTTGTATTTATGGCAAACAAACTGACAGGAGCTTTCTGTTTAATACGCAGACGCTTTTTTTTTTTTTGTCATTTTCTTTTGTCGAGATGAGCCCTTGGAGGGCCGATTAGAAAAGGGTTACACAGAAACCATGCTGACGTCCACTTCAACAAAACACGGTTGCACAAAGGGTAGAAATTTTGCCCGGTTCTTACGCTACAAATCTTGAGAATACAACAGCGATATGCGATTTCAAGATGAGAGAATAAAAAATGCTAGTGCAAACCAACCGACTCAGATGAAAACGTAAAAATTGGTATCATTGGGACATTCCCGGAAAAACAGCAGTATAATACTTCGAACTTGAGCACAAAGAGCACGAAAAACAAGAAATGTGCTATAGTTGAGGCCGCAAACACTCAAAAAGCACCGGTGTCGACGAGGTCAACAAACACGAGACCACAAGCATTTTTGCTACCTTGCAAACGCTACTGCGATTTCACCACACGGCTGAATGCATATTCTTTTCTAGGGCGTCGAGGTTTGTCATCGTGACATTTTACTACACAATCACACGGACGAGGGGCCTTAATCTGGACACTTGGCGAGGAAGTCGACGAGAAATCTGGCGGCCGTGATTGGCCAACGCCGCGCTTGACCTTGGCGCCGGCCGATCATAGCCGCCGGGTTTCTCGCCGGCTTTTTCACCAAGTGTCCAGATTAGGGCCCCAGGATAACACTCCACGCGCACTCCCTGCCCGCTCCCAGCGTAACCCTCTCCCTATCGGATCTCTCGAAAAATAAAATGAGAAATAAGACGTCCGCGTATTCAACAAAAAGTTTCTCTCTGTTCGTCTGCCATAAATACAAGCTTGATCATACTGAGAAACACTGGTAGGCACATAATGTGTGATAGGCCTTCCAGGGAAGAAGGGCGTCTCGCCGGCACCGCCTACTGAAGATTTGCATTCATTTCTGACACACGCCGTGAGATGGCGCTACATGACTGGAAAGGTTAGAGTAACAAAGAGGTTAGCTTCTCCCGACCGCGCCGACATCCATATCCGCCGCCATGTTTGTCAGCGGGTTGCAGAAACGCGGCCGCCTTGCACTGTGCGCCAGGATGTCACGTGCCTCCAGAAATCGGCCTCCATGTGAACCGCGGTTATCAGCAGAGAGTGATCGGGGCGATCCAAATTGAGATCTGGGCCAGCTTGCTATAGACCGTTTTACTGAAAGAGGGCGAGAGAGAAAAGGGGAAAGGGCTACCGGCACTTTCCCCCTTTCTGATTGTGTAAAAAGAGTAAAAGTCCCGGATGAGAGGCTTGTCCGATATTGGGTGTCTGCTGTGCCCCAACTTCGTTCGCGCTTTCTTTTCTGTTTTGAACTCGCAAACTTAGAGTACCGGGCTTCGATGGCAATAGTTCCCCGGTCATCGGGACACCATTGCTCGGTCATAGGGTGCACGAATAACGACAGAAAGTGTCGAATACTGTCCGAGGACCTATGTAGCTTGCAATGAATCCGGCAAGGCGAGAGCGGCTGCAATGTCTTTAAGCTCCATCGCTTTCCACATGACCCCGGTCTTGGCGGCAGTGGGTTGCGTTCGTAAACCGAAAAGACATTTCCTCAACACCATCTTCTCGACTGCGCTCGGAACAGCTTGTGAATGGAGCGCGCACCGAACGCTGTACCGCCGATGAACATGGGGTACGCTCGCAAGGTGCGTGCCAGTTTTCTCGTTGCTGTTTCAGCTTGTAAAATTTTGTAACAGAATTTATCTTAATATTGATAATTTGCAGTTGTGACTGACTCGATTTCATCATTTCCAACACTTAGTTGAAAACTTATTTCCGCCGCCGGGTGAGGTTAGAAATCGGTTTTCCTGAATAGCGATCCCCTGTGCGATACCAGAGAGCCGGCAAAAGCGCTCCTTGGAGTGCCGCTGGTGGGTTTTTTGGGTTGTTCCCGTTGATTGGGCGCTTTGAAGCGCTGGATAGCCGCTCCAGCGCTTCAAAGCAGATCGCAACACTCGTGTGTTGCGATCTGCGTCTTCGAGCACAGTGTGTACGTTTCTTTGTTCGAGTCATGGCATCCGCCAGTGCGGCAACGGGGGGAACAGCGGCAGCGAACGTGTCAGTGATAGAAATTGGAGGTTAGTACTCAAAATATTGCATCAAATAGGAAAATAATTCGTGGCTGCTTTGACGCTTTCTGCAGTTCGATATAAGCACATTTAGAACGTCTTCGTCGTTCATCCACAATGAAATATGAGAACACAGACACGCAAGATAAAAGCAGCGCAGCAAAACGATATGTAGCAGCTCCGGGTGTTTACAAAAGTTAATTGAGGTTCCCGTTTCGTGTATCGCTTGTTCATTACTAAAAACGGCTGCGTTGAAATGGGCCTATTGCAAACAAAAATTTATGAATGGTTCATCATTTCCAGTCACGCGGAAAGCGGTGGGGCTTCAAAACATTGCAGCCGCACGTGCCTTACCGAATTCCATGCAAGCTACGAGGTCCTTGGGCTGTATTCCACGCTTTCTGTCGTTATTCGTGCACCCTATGACCGAGCAATGGTGTCCCGATGACCGGGGGACTGTTGCCATCGAAGCCCGTGGCTCTAATTAAGTTTGTGAGTCTAAAACAGAAAAGAAAGCGCGAAAGAAGTTGGGGCACAGCAGACACCCAACACCGGCCAAGCCTCTCATCCGGGACTTCCACTCTTTCTACACAATCAGAAAGGGGGAAAGCGCCGGTAGCCCTTTCCCCTTTTCTCTCTCGCTGTCAAGATGGCGCTACCCACGATAAAACGGTCTATAGAAAAGCGTCCTAGCTGAGACTGGGTGAAAGAAAGCACTGCAAAGGCGAGCGTCTTGAGACGCGGTTTGAGTCCCGCTCAGCTTGTGCACTGGCTTTCGTCATAGCCTCCTTTATACTCACAAAGCCTGGCATTTCGACGACAGAGCCATAGAGTAACCGGTTGCAGATTTAGAGCGCGAGGATCTGGTAGCACAGAGCATCAAAGAGCCATTTCTCGGGAAACCTGGACGTCAGCGGCCAGTTTTTGCAGCGGCGAGGACCCCAAACACAGTGTCGGGCCCTCGCGTCTTGCCGCAGCATCTGGCGGCAGCGGCGAGACGCTGCGTTTCGGCGTCTCGCCGCAGCGCGGCACCAGTCACGTGACTCTCCTCTCATCCGTCGTCTGCCGCTCCACCTTTTCCATTTCGGCGGCCGCTTCTCGTCGCTCTCTTCCAGGCTTTGTCAGTACATAGGAAGCTATGCTTTGGTAATGCTTCCCTTCTCCCGGGCTCAGCTGAGACGCTGTGTCTAGCAAGCCGGCCCTCGAGTCGACGCTGCTCCAGAACGACGAGCGAAAGACCTCCGTGTTCATCTCAAACAAACAATAGCCCACGCGCGCTCAAGAAAAAAAAAAAGTTGATTTTGGAGCGTGCTAATTCGACAAGTAGAATGTGTCACTATACTTTGTTCCACCATAAGTCCAGACGCAGCGGACGATAAGAGCTGATGGAACCAATTAGACAGCGTCAAAAGCGTGCCATTCGGGTGTTCGTTGTCTATTTCTGTACGTGTTCTATCAACACTGAACCAATAATAAACAGAAATGGCCCGGTGACTTGCGCTTTTGACGCTGCTTGATCAGTGTCATTCGCTCGTAGCATCACTGCTGCTTCTGAAGTGAATCTGGAAGAAAGTATAGTTATACTGTTGGCCACTCTACGTTATTCACGCTGAATAAACCTATAGCGTCCTTAAAGGGGCCCTGCAAGGACTTTTTACTGCTTTTTAATTTGCACCGAACCTGAGCGCACTGAACGTAGTAACTTAATGAAACTTTTCTTTTCTCAAACTTCGCTTTGTTTTAAAAGTTATAGGTGAAATAAAATAAAAAAACAAGCAAAAAATATCCTCCTTCATGACGTCCTTGGTTGCTTGAGTGGGCCTGAACTAGAGGAGGGGTAGCGAGCTATGTGAGCGCTCACGGCTGTCGCACTCTGTGTCGACGGCGTGAGAGGGTGCCACTAAAGTATGTTCTGGATAGGCTGTATGCAGCGGGCAGCCACAGTGGCTCGCATTGCATTTGCTGCGCGATTAAACACTATTTCTGCATGACACTTCATTAGCCACAAACGACAGCAAACACGGGGTACAGATCAGTTCCGATTGGGAGCCACTTCGCGCTGCCATACCGCGAAATGGTCAAACCGCAAGACAAAGCTGCTCGCCGAAGGCCCTCGGAAAGCTCGGAGCCGGTCGGATCCTCCAGTCGATATGACCGCAGCGCCGCTGCGCACATCCGGGATTTTTTCGTGTCGGCGCCTGATCCCACTACTCCTTTCTAGTATGCGCCGCCTTTTCCACCGCTTGGTGGCGGGTATGTCGACGGGTCATTTCTTGTTTACGCACTTTGTAAACTGCATTTGTTTCTTTTCTGATCTAAAGTACTGAACAAAAGCTAGGTTTATAAATAATTTAAACGGTTCGCGCCATTTACATTTTGTGTTTCGACTAAAAAGAACCAGTAGTAAGCCCAGGACCAAAGACGTCACATATCGCGCGCTTTCGGTACCGCTGGTTCGTCCAACAACTCCTAGAAGAGAAGGCCGTAGCGCTCCGAGTGGGCACGTCACAATGGCGGAGGAAGGAAGGCCATGGCGCAACTACGTGAGAAAATGACGCTCTCGACGCGAATCGGCGCATTAATGTTCATGCGCGTTTATCCGACATTAATACACGTTTTAAAAGCGCAGTCTTGTACAATTTATTATATATGCAATATAAACGAAATATACAACGCGTTACCAAGGTTGAAAGTACCATATTTATATTTTTGATTATCCCCGTAACCGCGGGACTGAGCGCAGTCCCGCAGCTCCCCACACTTTTCGAATGAGCAGGCTCCGAATTTCAGATGCCACATTTTCCCTCGTACGGGCTCTGATTCTGGTAAATTTACGTCGTGCGTGAGCTGCTGACTGCATGCAAAGGTACGCTGAGACATTTCAGAAGGGAAAGGAACCGAAAAAAAATCCATTCATCGCCGCTGGGAGGGAGCGCACACGAGGAAGAGATGGGTCGACAATGTTAGGCCTCTCGTCCCACACTGCTGGTGCTGCTCTCGCGAGTGTATAAGTGTGTGGTTATGTCCTACCCATTGTTTTTTTGTGTTTTTTTGTCGTCACCACAGTCCCAGGTAGATTTTTTTTTGTGTGTGTGTTCGCTTGATACTACGGCATTTACGTGGATTCGCGAAACAAGTCCTGCTACGGTTTGACTGACGTGTGTGGCAACTAGTCAACGATGACGCTGGCCGATGACCTCTCTCGTTAGAAAGAGACTTCTTGAAGTTCGTGTTAAATTTTTTTCGTGATGGATCGTGTAGGACGTGTGGATACGATCGACAGGTGAGGAACAACTTATTTACGGGCTTTCTTGGTCATGTAAGACGCAAGTAAAGTGCTGCAATCGATTTTTTTTTAATATCGTGATAGAATGGAGTTTTCTTTTTCGTCATTATCCGTTTGCTATTGCGTCAACATTTATAATTATGCGTGGTAATATTCTAGTTTTTACTGGAAGGTAAATAACAAGTTTGTGTGATTATTGAAAGTGGGTTGTTTGTGCTTATGTGTTTATTTATACTAATGTTATTTTGTTGCATTTACCGCATTTATACTAGAATCTTAACTGTATTAAGGTAATAGTATTATTGTATACAGTATAGGTTATATTTTTTGTTCTTAGGCACCTCGAGCCCATAGGGAAAATTAAATTAGTTGACTGTAAATAGTAAGTTTAGTACCCCTGCCACACGGAAAAGTTAATATATTTTGATTAAATAATACAGGATTTAATCAGCTCGCTGTTTTGAGTGATTATATGAGCGTCGCAAGAAATTACATTACTTTTGCCATGTGGCCGGGGTATGATGCAAGAATTCAGTGACTGCACGCGATAACATCGCTTACGTGATCTTAAGTGACATTCCTCTAGCCGTGTCCGCGTTGACTACGTCTACCTCATTTTTCAATGTGACCTGTTTTGCTGTGTCCAATCACTGCGTGTCTTGCCATTTTTGTCGAAGTATTTCTGTGTAAAATATGCATTCCTGCAGCAATAATTGCGTGAATCAATGTTTTCTCTTATACGCCTTCCTCTTACCATTTCATACCGATCCCTTAGCGGTGTAATATTTTGCCCGTGTAATGAAATGTTTTCGAGACCCGTTGCACGTTGCTATGTGCAGCTTTCAATTTAGCTAATAAGACACGCTTATGTGACTAAAAGCACGTTACGACGATCGATCCGCGCGCGTTGCCTTCGCTTCGCCGCGCGCCCCCGATGGCCTTCACTCGCGACGTCACGAGTAGAGCGCTACGGCCTTGTCTTCTAGGAGGTGTCGGTTCGCCCCACTTTTTATCCTCCACGTTTCGGACCCGCGGCGATGTGTTGGCGTAAGCGAGCCTCCAGAAGCTTGACTTTCTACGAGGAAGCGATGAAAGGACTGGCGACTATCCTTCTATGGTGCTGATGAACGTTCATAAACGCGGAATGTCTGGTTCACACGGTTGCTCTGAACATTCAGAGCAACCGTGTGAACCAGACATTCCGCGTTTATGAACGTTCATGAATAGGTTGCTCTGAACATTCAGAGCAACCTATTCAGGTTTCTCTGAACACAACGTACAGAGCAACCTGGAAACATGATGATACTACAGTTACGATAGAGTCACCAAGACAACTGTTGTATGAGAGAAGCCACCGACGACATGCAAATGCGGATGCCACAAGAGGCGAGGAGAAATCGCGAAAGGAGCTGTACCGGCCAGTTCGGTGTTTCCCGTTAGGTGCCGTTCGTTTTGCTGGAGTCGCGAATAGTCGGCGAACGGGTCAAAGACGACGAGCACCGCCACGATGCACTTTTTGCGGTGCTTGGTTGGCTCTATCGGGGAGAATGTCGGCTGCGGTCGGCACTTTAAGTGAAGCGGAGTATGCACATCGGTCGCTCTTTCTGCTTGACTTGTGGTACTGATCGGTTTCAGAACGCATCACTGTCCTCCTGCCTGACCACAGGTTCTGGGGGACCCCGAGGCGGCCAAGTTCGTTCAGGGCGTTGCCGTGCACTGGTACGCCAACGACTATATGGGGCCCTGGGTCCTGGACAAGACGCACAACAACTTTCCCGATAAGTTCATCCTGGCAACGGAGGCATGCGAGGGCTGGAGGTCGTCGGACGTAGAGAAGGTCATCCTCGGCAGCTGGAACAGGGCCGAGAACTACGCGCACGACATCCTCGAGGTACAGTGCTTCGTAGTCGCGTCACCTTATTCTCGTTGACAACTTTCGGTGGCGTTTCAGAAGCAGTCAAGGGTCGTCGTTTTGATCGACGCTTAAGGTGCTCGAACGCCCGTGCGCCCATTGCTTTGACTGCATAGCCATTGAAAGTCGTCCACGAGTATCCGCGACTCCAGCGACCTATAGGGGTCGTCACCCTCGACAAATATAGCGACTGTAAACAGGTTGTGCCCTGCCATGTGCCAGCTAAACCCACAACGCGCTCAAATTCAAGCGGGCGAGAATTGTATTCAAAATTAATTGTCACGATTTTTATCTATTACGTTGAAGACCTGCGGCAGTGTGTTAACTTCAGTTACACTCTCAGAAAAAAAGGTGTATTATTACACCCCTTGTCCCATATAATACACCCCAAAACTTCAATTCGACGTACAGCGCCCCTTAATCGAACAGGCGGCCCCAAAATTTACGAGGGGCTTGATAGCCGTGTGGTACAACTTATTAAGATAGCTGATGTACGTATTATTGACTACAAAAAAGACTATCCGAGTTTTCTTGGCCGTACTGCAAAAGCTCCATGTATTCTTTCTTTGGTCTTTAATACATACTTTAGGAATTTAATACGTTATATCGCACCGTTATCAAGCCCCTGGTAAAATTTGGTGCCGTCTGTTCGACTATAGGGCGCTGTACGTCGAAATGAAGTTTTGGGGTGTATTATATGGGACAAAAGGGTGTACGGTGATACCCTTTTTTTTTAGAGTGTACAGGATAGCTTAAGCCTTCTTCGGGGAAGCGACGGAAGAACTGCCGGCTCTCCTCGTACCGCGCTGAGAAACGTTGACACACAAACATTGACTGGCTCACGCGGTTATGTAAGGAGGCTATGATTGAGAACAACCTATGCAACGCGCTGATACGACAGTCACCACAAAGTAACCAGGAAGTCTGTTCGCCCTACAAAGCTTGAGAAGCAATGCAGGGCGCACCTCAATCGATAGGCAATATATGAGTCACGGTTTTCCCTGTGGCCCTTAGTAGCTGCTGTTCACATAAACGTTCTTAGATCTATCAGTCGACAAGCACCACTGAAGAGCGGCATTCGAAAAGCATTATTCACTGTTGCATGCACGCGAGCAGGTACGGGTGGATAGCGCTCCTTGCACCGCCAGATTCAACACCTCCACGGGCAGCAGAGAAAGACCACTTTTGACCGACGCTCTTTATGCGAGAACTTTTGCGCAAACTTTTTGTTTATCATAAAAAAACACAGTAGAATCATTTTCTACAGCAGGCAGTGTACATACAACGCTTCCGCCACGTCTGCCCATAGGTCGGGCTGATGGTGTAGAAAGCGCCACCGAGCGCACGCGCCACGAAAAGGCGCCAGGCCTTCTAGGAAGCTTGTCAACTTATTTTTATCTAGTAACGTTGGCTTACATTTCTCTGGGCAGAACCAACGCAACTTCCCTTCCATTAATTCGGTGGCCATTGCACCAACCACCTACTACATCATAGTGCAATCATTGAAGCCGCATGAGACGAGCAGAAATTCGGAAAGGACCTGTTCCGGCCAGTTCAGTGTTTCCCCAGTAGGTGCCGTTCCTTTTGCTAGAGTCACGAATCTCGCTCAGAGCTCGTTACCAGCCTGTCTAGAGGGAAATATAATTTAGAAGAAACGTACGATCGACAGTAATTTTTTCCTATTTGGCTCTTAGAATAAACCATTTTCAAAACTCAATCAACCAACGTTGCCGGGAGTCGTTTTTTGTGCTCGAGACCCGCGATTGAATCCGAGTCATCGCCGAACGCTGTCGCATCACTCGTTCTCACTACGAGCTCAGCCGATAGTTCACGCCATACACTGACGCAGCCCTCGTGTCAAACACATGTCTTGAATATGTACCTCAAAACTGGCAGACTCGGGTAGTTAGTGCAGCAACGGGGCGCACTTTTCAAAAGGGTCTATTGGAGAAATTTCGGAACAGCACCAGTGTGCTTTTTGTGCTCATTTTGTCGCCCAGTGTACGCTAAAAGAGTCGTCAAACTTGCGGAAACCACAATCACTCGTGAAGAACAAATATATCCAAACAATTCCCGTTAGAACGGCAGTGGAGTTAATTTCAGAACATTTTTAATCTGAGTTTCTACATATTTGAGAGTCTCAGACATCTCCTACAATTTCAGACTCCGTTTTCTAGAATCTACAAATAGACTTCTCCCGTCTGCTGAAAGAAATGATTTCGCATTTAAGAAATAAGTAAGAAATACCGTGATCGCTGTGCATCAAGACTCACTCATTAAACCTTCTTTCACACACAAAAAAAAGAAGGAGCGACTTATTTGTACGTTTTTTTGTTGTTGTTGTTGTTGTTGTTTTTTGTTTTTTGTTTTTTTTTTGGGGGGGGGGGGGGGAGGGGATCCGAGTGCACGCAGAACAATGCGACCAATTATCTGAGACGTAGCCCAAACACCGATAAGGGTGCAGATCCCGCACACCGAACGTTCACATCAGGACACTGAACACTCCCAGCCTTCATTTTCTCCAGTTCTGCAGTTGGCCGCTCACATCTCGCGCGCGCTGTCTAAGTAGCATCAACCCTACTGCTAACGGGGGATTGATCCACTGTGTCACTTCCCGTGCCGGGATCAGTGATGGGCACTCGCAAAATCATAACTGGTTTCGTGTTTTCTATGTGTATTTTTCTTCGTATTCGTTTTTTTTTTATAGTTTTTATTTATATATATACACGGTGCTTTTTGTAGTGTATTTCTGGTGTCGGGCAAAATAATGGGAGTTTACCGGGAATTTCGGTTAAAAAATAGAGCAGACTTATATAGAACTCATTACGAGTAATCAAATTACTTGTAATTGCTTGCTTTTTGGAGTAATATGTTACTTGTTGGAACATATTTATTGGAAATTAATCGCAGAGCAATCCGATTACTTCTGGAAAAGCTAAAATTACTTAACACCGTTATTTCCTCCTTCACTTCCTGAAAGCGCCCTTCGTTTGTGCAGGTTTCTCACCAAAGATACATGTAACAAAGTCTCCAAAAGGAAATTTTAGAGTTCGTTGCATATAATTCAATAATGTACAGTGCGAATGACCCGTTTTAAAACCGACAAAAGAAATTGTCGCTAAGAAAATCCGAAGTAATCGAAAGAGTAAGTGTTATACTTTTCAAGTAATGATCAATTACTTTTTTGTAGGTAATCAAGTAATATTATTTAAGTACTGTTAAATCGAAATAAACTGTAACTGTAGTCGATTACTTTCTTGAGTAACGTGTACAAGTCTGGTTAACACAAAATAAAACTGTAGGTAAAAATTTCTTCCCGTAAAGCTTGGGGTTTTTTCTTACGCAGTGGCTGCTCCAATTCGGTTTTTTTTTCTCTCTTCTGTGATTTTGATAAAACAATCTCAGGGTGATTTTTCAGAATTCATGGGCATTTACCAGTCTTGTACGCGTTACTTAAAAAAAGTAATCGATTACTATTACGATTACTCCTGGATAAGAAGTAATCATTCGCATTTCTCGATTACTCCAGAAGAAACGTAATTCGCAGCTTATTGGAGAAGTAGCCGTTACTTTTCTTATTACTTTAGATTTTTACAACATATGTTTCTGCCGGTTTAAAAACGGGTTTTTCGTTCCGTCAATTACTGGATTAAAGTCACCAATTTATAAACTGCTCATTTTCTCAATCTACTGATTTAGGGAAATCTTTCTTTTGTCGGGGACTTGGTCAACACCACCTAGACAGAAGGCCTCCGCATGGTTTCCTCTTCCTCTATGAAACGTCATCACAGTCGGATCGCGCTCGGTCGGCTATTGGACCCGAGTCCGACCTTCGACGCGCTGATTGGCCACGAGCCGCAGCCGAACACTGACGCAGCACTCGTGCCCAATCTCTCGCCTCGATCGATCTGACTATGATGACGCGTGTGGAGGCCTTCTGTCTAGGTGGTGTTGTCTTGGTTCGACGATACCTTGGTAGGTAACTTGTAGAAACAGAGGGCATCACTAGAAAGGGAATGGAAAACTAATAACGGTTACAAGTAATTTGAGCACTTGCGAAAGTAATCAGATCATTACTCTTGTGATTACTTCTTAACGAATGTCTTCGAATAATTACAAAATTACTCAAAAAAGTAATCGATTACAAGTAACTTGATTACACTACAAGTCTGGTATCGCCCCAGGTAAAGACGGCCTCAAAGTAGAACAAATCAAATTCATTTCCCGTTTAATATAAACTCTGCTAACACACATATGCAACACGGCATTGTTAACTCGTCGTTTTCCAGACCGAATGAAAGTAGCACGCTTTTGCGTCGTACTGTACATAAGGGTGGTGCACGGAATTACCTCAATAATTGCAGGCCGACATCTGTAGTTCCAAAAAAATGTTTATCTTTTAGAACAAATGTTAAACAGTCGCTCCATTTTTTTTTTTTTCCGAAAAGCATAATATAATTTCTGAACAGCACTTTGGGTTTCAGAAGAATGAATCGACGGAAATGTCATTCCTAAATATTAATGATAAAATGATTGCCGACATCAGATATGTTCACTTTCGGAAAGCCTTTGATTCAATTGAACATCAAATACTACTAGCAAAACCAAACATGTATGGTGTGAGGGGCACAGTGAACATATTAATTAGTAGTTACTTGAGTTCCCGGTCACAATTCACCATATAATGGCCTCAAATCAAATATTCATTGAATAGCGCATGGGGTCCCACATGGATCGATTTTAGGGATAATAACTTTTTCTTGTTTATATTTATAATATAATTAATATTTCGCATCGACCAGAAATGGCAGTATTCGCAATACAACTCCAATGCTTTTTTTTTTTTTACATAGTAACCTTTAGCATTTTGAAAGTACAGCTAATGTGATTGGTTAAATTATTTACCATTGTGGCTAGTGGCAAACCAGCTTGAACTGAACACCTTAAAAACTAAATTTACTGTTTCTAGAGCAATAACTAAAAATCTTAACTACGAAATTAATATAAAGTTTAACTTTTACAAAGTGGGGAAGGTTGAATCTTTAAAGTTCTTTGGTGTATGCTTAAACACCTATACCTGACAACTTATGTGTCCAAGCTGTCTTTGACACCCTGAAGATCAATCGGCGCAATACATAAATTACAATATTTATTACGTACATGGTTGAAGGGCCCATTATCCTATCCACTTGTTCCCTCTAACTTACATTACTGCTCATTGGCTTGGGAAACGGAAACCAAATTTGAAAAACTACTAGTGATCCCGAAAAAAAAGCGATACGATCTGTCATGTGTCATGGTTACAACAGTTACACGTCTACTTAATTTTTAAAAAAAAAACGCTTGCTTGCTACACAGCAGAAAAAAATTACACCTTGCAATTCAGGGACGCTAACTGCACTAAAAACAGCCATAATCCCAAAATCGAAAGTATCGACCGGAGTTGCCCTTTAAGGGAAATTTGGTGTGAAATGACTCTGTCAGTTTTGAAAGAAGGAGAGATTATGTAAGGTTGAACATTATTATGTTCAACCTTACATAATCTCTCCTTCTTTCAAAACTGACAGAGTCATTTCACACCAAATTTCCCTTAAAGGGCAACTCCGGTCGATACTTTCGATTTTGGGATTATGGCTGTTTTTAGTGCAGTTAGCGTCCCTGAATTGCAAGGTGTAATTTTTTTCTCGTTATTGTGCGTAGTTTTAAAGATATCGACGTCTCAAAGTTTTGTTTGGGGCGCGGCCGACAAAACCGAAACTAGCCGCTCGAGGTTCCGGCAACACTGGAAATCAGCCGCTATGTGGACGTGACGCCAAGATCGTTCTCGTTCAGCGAGTACGCAGTCCAAGCGGCACCTACCTCTGTTGCGCTAGCCGTCTAAAGATAGAAGGTAAGCTCATTTTGTTTTAATTCTGTATACGTGGTAGTTATCCAGCATATGTAGCAAGAGTTAGTGCGTATACCCAAAAGCTAGCGACTGGAAAACCCGTCAACTCGTTCAGTGGCGTACTCGGCGGCCGCCGCCGCGCGTGCGCTATGCCGTGCCGTACTCGTTGCTTGTATACCAAAAAGCTAGCCACTGGAAAACGAGTGAACTCGTTCGGTGCCGTACTCGGCAGCTGTCGGAGTGCGTGCGGTCTCCCGCACTCGTCGCTAGGCCTAAATTGTCATCGGGGCTCCGTGGATGGAGCGGCGTTGCTCTACGCCGCGCTGCCAGTGACGTACAGTGCTGGCGCTTTCGCGCTGCGGGTCAGTCCCAGACACGAAGCTTTGAGGATCTCCGGCGCGTTCCGCGACAACCGAACAGACGTGTGTCAAGCTGTAGACGTCTGTTTTTTCGTTATTTTTTCCTCATGCGCGTAAAAGCCGAATTTGTAAGCTACGACACTAATTCACCACATAAGTTCGTCCAGGTAGTGAATCTTTGTACAAATAAAAAAAAACTTGCCGCACTAAAAAAAAAAAAAAAGTTCTTTGGGCAGTCATTTTCTTCTCAAAGCTAGCAAAAGTTTTTGTGGGTGATAAAGGAAAACAGAGAACGTTAGCAAGGTGAGAACACTTTCTTTCCCTTCCGCATTCCCACCCCCACCCACAACAATTTTTTTTATTAGAATACATAGGATTTTAAGTTTTCCTCCGTAACTTTTGACTAAGGCAAATGTTCTTTTTTTGTTTTTGCATTTTTAAATATTACATTTACCTCCAGCCGAACTCGGGCAAATTAAAGAGTTGTAACTTACAAATTCGAACTTTCGCGATTTCTTTAAAGTCCCTTGTGGTATTCACAAGCGCAATGTTAATTAATACTGCTGCGTAACGGGTTCGAACGATTGTGAGGCGAATGTTTATATCGCATGAGCTTCACGCGCCGGCTGTTCGCTAGTAGTCGTTACGGACCTGAATACTACGCACGAGATTGCGTAGTAAACAAGCAGTGACGCAAAGCAGAACATTGTTTTCGTTTTCATTACAAACTTCAGTGTTTGGAGCTAGTTAGTGGTTGTACCCTACATGCCCACCATTCCCCATTCAACAGACATTCAATGGAGCGTGAATGCTCAATCTTCAACACTGCACTTGACAATGACTGTTTTACTTATTGATCAGGATACTTTTATCATGTTTACCTTTCTGTACATGTACGATGGGCAAAGAGCGACGGCACGGCATCCTTTTAAGCCTCGATACCTTCGCTGACAAGCCACAAGCAACCAACACCTGTAGGTTTCGTTCGTAACTCTCCGGCGAAAAATGGCCGGAGCACAGCTTCGATGTGGGGGTCGACGTCCAAGGCTTTCCAAAGTTCACTCGTCGAACAGCGTTCACCCACACCTTTTACAATTTCCGATCCGTTGGAAACTTGTGAAAAAGCACCTCCGGGTTGCGCAGAGGCTTGTTTAGCAGCCCACAGCACTTTAAGTCGTACTCGGCATCTTTCGAGGAACAGCTGGGCAGTCTTGGGCGCACCGAGTTGCTCGCTAAAACGAGTCTAGGGGTCCTCACAAGCAAATAAACAAAAGGCTATACCGAAGCTACACGGGCTACAGGTAAAAGCAACGGCTAAACACGCAATTACAAGCCGAAGTTGCGGTGGTAGCGGCACAAAGAAGCGCGCGCGACGGCTGCGCCGTGCGCCCGTCCGGAACGGAGGAAAAAAGGGGTACGATGTTGACATCACGGCCCAATGTTGCTTTAGCGATCGGCAACCCGCTGGCCGCCCGCTAAGGAGCAGCGGCTCGCGGCGGGTCGCGTTTTTATTATGGGTATTAGTTGAGAATGCGGCGTCCCACGGACGTCAAATTTTGGCTGGGGTCGTATTTTGTGTCACTAAAGCGATACCAGTAATTTAATTCATTTTGAGTTTTGGCCGGAGTTGCCCTTTAAGAGCTGCTCACTACAACTTAAGACGTGTGAAATATGTTAGACGTCAAATACGTACGAGCTATGGTGAACAAACATTAACACAGCGCATTTTTCAACTTCTAAACATGCATTCTCAAATTCTGGAAATTACTGAAAGAATAAAGTCTACAGCTACATTCAAAAATAATAAGAAATTATACTTTGGAGCATAAATAATATCTTAAATTAAAAAGTCGTAGACAGCCCTTTTCTTTTTTTCTTTTCTTTGCGCGTTCCTTGTATCTGTTGTGCCACCCTGAAACGTGTACGCAGCACAGGACCTTTGTCAGGTGCAGTTAAGCACCTTTTGCCACTCCCCTTTAAAATGGCCTACAGACGAAATAAAATTAAATGAAATGGTCTGAACTAAAATTAAATTGAATTTACTGAAAACACCCGAGGCTAATTATAACTATGTTTTGAAAGGACTGCAGATGACCCGCATCGGCCCCCAGTAGAGTGAAGGGTACCAGTACACCAATCTAACCGAGCGTTCCGCGCATGGGTGACCCCGCCATGAGTTTAGTTCGCAGGACACAGGCTGCAGTGCAAGAGACAGCTCGTGTCGTCTGGTGCTCAGCACGCGTGGATCTCCAGCGAAGTCTTTGCACATGCAGAAAGACTAAAGTTATCATGAATACATTGCGGCAGCGGTTGTGTAGCCAAGCAGGATGGTGAGATCGGTATATCCTTTGTTTCAGGATCTTTTGCACTGGGCAACAGGATGGGTGGACTGGAACTTAGCACTGGATTTGAACGGAGGTCCCAACTGGGCGAACAACTTCGTCGACTCACCCATCATTGTCAACGCCACTGGGCGGGAGTTCTACAAGCAGCCCATGTACTACGCGTTGGCACATTTTTCGTAAGCAAGAGTTTGGTCATTTTTACTCTGAGCACTTGGGGGAAGTCAATATCTCTCTGATTGCATCGTTGGTGATAGCAGGGCCAAGCGTAGCAAGTAACTGTTTCCATGTTATCTGGTGACGCAGGAAGTTTCTTCCCCGAGGAAGCATCAGAGTAGATTCGAGGATTGTCGGCGCGACTAACGACAAACTTGAGTTCGGAGCCTTCAAGACGCCCGAGAACGCCACCGTCTTCATCGTGCTCAATACGTGAGTACAGCCTGGCTTGGGAAGTAATCCGTCTCAAGTAAAAGGTGAAGTGTAATCTGTTACTTTTCAAGTATATTTTGTGATTACCACGTTCTTTTTTCAGGTAGTAATTTGTAATATACTTTTGTTACAAATATTGGTAACGGATTACTTTACTTACTCCTTACTTCTTAAAAATATGAACATAATACAATAACTGTAGCCATATAAGGGGGCATTTCAGCAGCGCAAATATAGCAAGTTCAACAATATAGAAAACATCATGAAGAGGAGAATAACCGATAAACAAAACACGATTTTTTGTACGACCGGTCACTAGGACCACTGGAAAAACGTGTAAGGCACATAAAAATATGCGAAAAACAGAGATCAAGAAGACAGCGCCGGGTAGGCATTGTCGTCTTGATCTCCTTGCGGAGGTAAACGTTGATACCGAGCACGCGCACCGCTAGGTTTTGTCTGCAGAATTCCAGAGATCCTGTCCAGTCACCGTAAGCCAGCGGGGTGGCGGGTGTGATGGCAGCTTTCGCTGCCTTGTCAGATTACAGGTGAACGGTGTGCAACAACATTATTTCTCTAAAATACAATATTTTATTTTTACAAGAACTACCATAATGCGGGCGTATGAGGAATGGAAACTAGTGTTGCAGAACATTTTTGAAAACAGCAAAATTGTTTCCATTGTTTTCTCGATAATATGCGGAAAAATAACGGGAGAGTAATTTGTAACATAACCAGTAAAATATTCCATTACTTTTCAGCGAAAGTAACTTGTAACGGTAAGCCTTTACATTTGAGGCGCAGTAATTTGTAATTATAGTCCAATTCATTTGTCAAGTAAAGGGAACACCGACATGAATCGAGTGCAATTAAAGTAAACTAATTAATTTGAAACACATTGGCACCAAGATAATTATATAATTACCGCCGGTAACCTTGAAAGCGCTAGTGCATTTATCTTTCTATTTTAGCTTTGCCCGGTTTCAGAGACGGGTTCTACACTTTGCGGCGCCGTTAGCGCGAAAGGCATCCCGGTTGTTGTTTTTTCAGTTTTTCTCCAAATATTGAAGAAAAAAAAAGTGGTAAAAACTACAACAGTGGTGGAAAGTGCTTCGAAGCGAAAGGGGAAGAAGAGTTGATCGTGCCTTGCGCTCCTCCCAAACGCAGAGGAGCGTTACTTGATGAGATCTTGTTCACCTTGTGAAGATTCTACGCTCCCAGAAGTTCCTGCAGTTATACTGTCTTACATTGCATTCATTACAACGATCATTGATGTGTGGAAGAAGCACTGAAAAAGATTAGTCAAAGTCAAGTTGAACGGAAGAAGGCGCAACGTGTTTCCCTGTTTCGGCACCTTTCCTCTGCATCAAGATGAACCAGCTGATTTAATTATCCCCTCTCCGTTTATAATGCTTAGACCGGTTCAACCTTTGAGAACGGCTAATGATGTCATGCTCCAATGGTCGGCCTTTCTCGGCGTCAAAAGGGGTGCACGTCTTTCTGCCACTAAGACTTTATGCTTGCTGGAGCCTGATATCAATTGTACTTCCTATTAGCTGTACTGGTTTTTGAAGTAATAAAAGGAAGACCGAGAATAATCATAATTCATTATTATTCCATGCCTCAGAACGACCGAAATCTTATTATGAAGCAAGTTCGTGGTCATACAACGTGCACGACACACGGATAAAAAACGGAAATGGCTATAATGAGTAAATCAAAGCTTCGGTTCACGTTTAAAATATGCATAATTTATAAAAGCATCCAAAGAAGTATTTGGTGAAATGGCGTCGAAAGACGTTTAACGCACTGCGGGGCAGTACGAACGCAGGTGCTTTTGCTAGCATTGGTGAGGAGATCGAGTCAGTTTTTCCCGCATGTCAGTGTTTACCCGAGGCAAGGCCTGTAGATTGGATTCTTTACGTCATCTTCCTCGGTCGAGCGCGGGGTAACAGGTTGGGCACAAGGGCTACGTCGGTGTTAGGCCCAGCTGAATGTCGACCCAGCGTTCAGCTGCGTCAGCAGAGCGATGCATCAGAAACACAAATAAAATACTTCGTGTTGTTGTAGTTCCTATGGGTCTAGTGTTCAACTTAGCCGCTTAGGGGCGCCACGGTTGAATCTCTTTCACAATGCAAACGAAGGTAACTGTGTGAAGGTCGAGTCGTGAACTGTTCACGTGGAGTAATTTGAAGATCCCTGGGCTCTAAACTAGTGGTGCGCAGTGGAACGATTAACCTCCTGAATTATCGTTAAATAGTTTATCCGCAATTAAACATTGTAAACTGGTTAATCAGATGGATTACGAGCAGTGTGGACGGCTACGCGTAACAAATAACGGCGTTACTCGTAGCGCGTTGCTTTTTATCTGTGACATAATTGCGTTTCTTTTATTTTTAAGAAACGTAGGTCGGTAACGCGTTCCTTTTAAATGCGAGTAACGAGTAACACATTTTGTTACTTTTTTTCTGTAACGCCTACAACGCTGGTTCTGAGTTAAAAATTAAGACTAGAAAGTGGAAAGGCATGCTTTCTTGGTGCACATTTATTCATTTAGGAGGCTAGCACTGTTGTATTTTACGGTAAATAGCTTATCCAGAGTGATTATATGGTTTAAAAAATAATATAAAATTATTCATCTATGAAAGTGATTCTAGCTGTGTTTGCTTTTCGTGCTCGGTACAGCATCGATTTATGTAAGGCTGGAGGTACAGTCGTGGAAAGAGCCAACGAAGCCACAGGAGCGTGCGGTGTAGAAATACACGCGCACGTCATTTCTGGCGGGGAGGGGAACCACGCGAGCCGGGCGCCGTCCAGTTGCGAGATTAGCCATTATTATAATCCGGCTGTCCTGCCTTGCTATGTTTCATAACGTTGACCTATTTTAAACCATTCGCCATAGGTCAGCGTTATAAAGCATAGCAAGGCCGGATAGCCGGATGTTGGTTGCCGCTAATCCCACAACCGGCCGCCGCCCGGCTCGCCTGGTTCCTTTTGCCGCCAGCATGACCCGTGCGTGCAGCTCGAGACAGCACGCTCCTGTGGCTACGTTGGCTCTTTCCACCTCGTCGTTGATACCTAAACAACAAAAAGAAAAAGAAATGTTTAGTTTGATCATTTTTATGGTAATTATGCCTTTAAGTAAATGCAACGGAGGAATCGAACGATTCTTCGATTAAATGGTAGCGGTTAATCGATTAGAGACGTTTAATTGACGCATAGCCCTATTCTCAACCGGTCTCAGCGAACAAAACAATAAATTATCATCTTGAACGTCTTGAGGGCTTGGTGCACTCTCTTAAAATTGCCTGCGCGTCTACTTACCCTCAGAACACTCGAGGAGCCATTTTCTGCGGTTTACGAAATCAGCTCAGCAAATGATGAGGCGGAACATCTGCTTAGACCTCTGTATTGTCTGCACTATGGCATTGTGCAATGTAACCATGACGCTTTGCTTTGCGCAATGCCACGGCGCAGACTTCATTTATAGGTCTAAACGGATGTTCCGCGTCATCATTTGTTGAGCTGATTTCGTAGATCGCAGACATTATCTCTTTGTGTGTTTTACGGGTAAGTAGACGCGCGGGCGTTTCCTAGAGTGTAGTAGGCATACCTCGGCAAAACTCACTCATGAGGGCCCTCACTCATCGTCACTCACCCTCATCTTCACGGGCGAGGTGGGGGTGAGTGAGTTTCTGAGCAAGGAAAATTCATGAGTGTGAGGGTGAGTAAAAGTCATGAGGGCTGTGAGGACCGTGGGTGCATAAGGGGCGTGAGGGCCATGAGTGCGTGAGGCGCGTGAGGGCGGTGAGTGGCGTGAGGGCCATGAGTGCATGAGGGGCTTGAGGGGTATGAGGCGGTAAGGGGTGTGAGGGGTGTCAGGGCCACCAGTGCGTGAGGATAGTAAGTGCGTGAGGACCGTGAGTGCGTGGGGGGTATGAGTGCGTGAGGGCGGTGAGTGCGTGAGGGGCATGAGGGCGGTGAATGCGTGAGGACCGTGAAGGCGTGAAGGGTATGATTGCGTGAGGACCATGAGAGCGGTGAGGGGCGTGAGGGCCATGAATTTGTGAGGGGCGTGAGTGCTTTGAGTGCGTGAGGGGCGTGAGGGCCATGAGTGCGTGAGGGGCGTGAGGGCAGCGAGTGTGTGAGGGGCGTGCGGCCATACGGGCGTGAGAACGGTGAGTGCGTGGGGGGCATGAGGGGCATGAGTGTGTGAGGGCCGTGAGGTTCAGTGAAGGGCTAAAGGTGAGTGTGGCTGTGAAGATGAGGGTCAGTGAGGGGCTGAGGGTGAGTGTAGCTGTGAGGGTGAGAGTGAGTGAGGGGCTCAGGTGAGTGTGGCTGTGAGGGTGAGGGTGAGTGAGGGTGACCTGAAATTCCAACCTCTGGTAGCAGGGTAGCAGATGAAGTAACAAGTCTGAAGGGCAAGCGTTAATACGTTGTTAGATGTCTTTGATCCCGATTTAATTATGGGCGCTGTTTTCTTTTCCTGCTGTTTCAGTGACAGCCAAGCGCACAACATCAGCGTCCAGGATGTTTCTCGGAAGCTGGGCACATTCACATCTTACATCTCGGAGCGCTCCATGCGTTCTTTCATCTGGTGGTAGCCTCTAGACAGTCGCTTCTCTCGGCCAGCTTGACGAGATGTGTTGCAACACGTAAAAAATGTTAATTGTTGTAGTGCTTAATGACTTAGTGTCCTGCTAAATTAAGTCCCCATAGTAAAACTGTCTGGAAAACACTTAAAGAATAAAATGCAGCTGGGACGAAGGACGACGTACACTTCCTTTCATTCCCACCTGTGTTTTATTTCTTCGGTGTTTTTCAGCTCAACCAACACGTTCGTCCGTTTACATCGCTAAAGCTGTTTGGATGCATGTCTGGATAATTGTGATGCGTAGTCTTAGCTTTCGTTAAATTTTGGGGGCATGATAAATATTTGTGATATATGTTTTTCTATCCCGTGCAGAGCGCAAGGCCTGCAGTACTTGAAATAAATGTAAATGAAACGACGTCAATGTTTGATTATTAAAACTTTCCAGGTCATGTCATAGTCAGTAACGGCTTAAACTGACCCTGAAATTTTAAAAAAAGAAAAAGAATATTGAAAGGTTTATTTGGGTTGCTTTTTTTTCATGGAAAATATTTAATTGATCTGTGCATGGTGTACTATGCTGCGAAATTTCTCGTGCAAGTATACGTGCGGGTGGCACAAGAAATGAGAGGGAGGTGATATAAGAGCCTCATCCCCTCGTCCTATACGGGTGGTTTGTGGCAGCTGGAGATGGATCCACAAACTTGTACCGCATGACGATGGCGGGTGAGCAAGAAGTGAAGGCTCGTGGCTCGGAGTCCTGTAATGTGCGTTATTCCCCAAGCCGTCATAGGGACATTTTGTCAGACTTGGACGTAGTTCAACTACTCTACTCAAACTACTGTAGTTTAACTACATTTCCGAGTAACTCGGTAACTTTCAATTACAACTTGATTTGGGTAATTAGTAGTTTAATTTAACTACGTTTTTCAGGTAACTTCTACTCAGACTACTAACTACTTTTGAAATCTAGTGCTAATTTTGCTCATCACGAAAGTTTGAGCGCAGAAATAAATAAGACGCCGGCAGATGAAGTGGGCATTCCCGAACCAGGGGCCTCCCAACATTCCGTTCCCACGCACTTATACTCGCCAGACATCGAAACTGCATCACAGGCGTCCTTGGGCCAAGGTGGCGGCGAGCAGCCAAAACATAACACCGGCCCGCACGAACGCAGGTAGAGATGCTTAAAGGGGCACTCAAGTGGTTTTTGGGGAAGCTACTTTTTGGTGCGATGGCGTTAAGGAAGTGTCAGTGAATGAGTATCTTCAGTTTTAGCAGGCAGAACCGCCTATTAATCACGCAGGAATAAAATACGTGCGGACTCTTTTCTGTTCCTGCGCCGACCAATGAAATTATCGTATGTTTGAAAATTTTGGCGGCCTTTGTAAATTTTCGCTAAAGAAACAATTTTCAGTTCATTTAGATATGTTGCGCATGATAATTTCACACGACGTAAAATAGTTCTAGTTTAGAATACGCGAAACTGCAGTTATCGTTTCACAAACAAGGGACTACGTTTTCTCCTTGCCTCCCTCCGCGGGGGGTGAATTTTTCGTACCCTCGGGTTGCGCGGAAGCGGACGTATCATGAACTGCAATGATGGCGTCGGTGGTGATGGTTGACGTGGACGGCCTGGTGAAAGCTCATCGTTCCGCGTAAAAGCGCTATCCTTGACTGTGAATTTTCGTCGTGTGTCGCAAAAACCCAGCACATACTAGAAGGGAAGATCCACCTACTCGTGCGGCGATGTCGTGGCGGCACTCGCAAGACAGCAGAAACGCCCGTGCCGTCGTGTTTGTTTACCTCGACTACAGTGGTGCTTTCTAAGCATTTCTGTCCTCGAACATCGCCCGGATTTCTTATTTGGGCGTGTGCTCATGTCCAAGGTATTACTGGCGCGTACCGTATAAAGGATGCGAATTTTCACGCATTTTCATCACCGGAAAAAAGTGATTAGTGAAAGCAATCCTGAACGCTCGCAACGTCTATCTGATCACGAATTCATATTTCTACGTTGCTATATCGCTGGTTAGATTACATAGTCTTTTATAATCCTAGAAAAGCCGTGTGGCGATATTTGTACTATTGCCAAAGTCGTGTATTAGAATGGATGCTCGGGCGAGTTGGGTATTCATATTGTTGGAGAAGCGCTAAGTAGATTCACTCACCCTCAAACTCACACTCACACTCACACCAGAAAAACGGTCATTCACGTCGCGCTGACTTTCAACTCAAATTGTATTTTCGTCTTCTTTCGTTTTTCTTTTACCCGTTTTAAAATTGTCATCCACTTCGTTCTCTTCTATACAAAACAATTAGCAAATTCTATCGCATATTACCTTCGAGAATCAAGAAAAAAGAATTCTTTTTCCGTTAGCGTTATGGATGGACTGCTAACACAGGTGTCACTTCTTTTTATGATGTGAGCTGCCTCTATTATCTCACGTGTTAACTGATGATGGTTCTTTGCGATTATGGTGCTATTTTCGAAGTCCGCGGCGCACCCACAGTCGCGGCAGTGAATGCCCAAGAGTCCTGAGTTAGCTAATCGGGTGTTGTTGTTGTGTTCTCTTAATCTGTCGTTAATACATCTTCCAGTTTGTCCTATGTACTGTTTGCCGCATGATAGGGGAAAGGAATAAATCACTCCTTCTGAGCAAGGTATGTATGGGGTTTTATGCTTTTTAGTGCAGACGGTATTAGTTTTTGGTGTGGCGTTAACTTTTTTACAAAGGCCTGATAGTTTGATGGGGGCGGAAAAGACTACGTCGATGTTTGCGCGATTCCCAATCTTCTTCAGGTTATGAGAAATGTTATGAATGTAGGGGATGACTACCGGTCTCTGGTTACTGAATCTTTCGTGGGGCTTGCGGGATGTGATTTGACCTTTTTTAATCTGTTTAAGGAGACTTTCGGCGACTGAAGTTAATATATGTGAAGGATATCCCGCACTTACTATCCTAGATACTTGTCCTGTGAAGCTTGTTAGGCCTGAATGTGGGCAGGACTTGAAAATAGAGTTTTTGAAGCACTGATTAACTATGCCTCTCTTTACCAGTTTGGAATGCGCCGAATTATAATTGAGGAGTGGTTTTTTCCCTCTTGGCTCATACGACCAACAGACATGACGGGGCTGAAAAGACAATCTTAGGTCCAGAAATCTTAAGGATCCTAGCTCTGGAAGCTCGTGCGTGATCTCCAAAGGGTTTAAGCATGTTTTAAACTTGACGAGCACATTGGGCACATGAATCGGGAGGTCTTTTTCGTTGGTGTCCAGGAGTATCAAATAGTCATCAACGTAGCGGAACACTTTCACAACAGTCGAGGAATCTAAGCTCTTTTGAAGCAGTCTGTCGTGGTGTGCTAGGAATAAATCACTGAGAATTGGCGCTATACAGGATCCAATGCAGACTCCCTTTTTTTGAAGGTATGTGTTACCGTTCCAAGTCACGAAGGTAGACAGTCGCAGGTAACGCGCTCGTTGCAAATGTCTGAACCAGCCTTCCCCGTCCTCCCGAAACGAAACTCAACGTGGCGACATCGTTTGACATCACGTACCAGAGGTTCGCTACTATGCTAAACGTTGGTTTGGTTATGACTTGCCCCAACCGCAAATCGAAAAACGCCCGAAAAGGTCTGCGTTTCGTCGTCCTCGGAACCCGAACACGACTCCGAAGCGCCCCTATCGTCCACATCGCACGTCGGAGTGGCGGCATAGGAAAGCATGCCCAGGTCGGCTGTCCGCCGAAGAGTGTCAACCTGTAACGGCGTCAGGTCCTCGAGCGTGGAGAATTCCGCCATGATCGAAGCTCGAATGACAGAAAAGTTCCGCCGGTGCGGCTACCTCGGGATCACTGCGCGACGGAACGTCGTCCAACGCCATTGGCCCGAGATGGTTTTGATATGCGTGCGATGACCAATAAGAGTGGTTTCGTTTTTGGATGGATCCGAGGTTTGGCGGCCTTCAATTACATTTTTATTAAAGAAATAATCACCGTATGACAACATATTTTGGTTTTTAGGGATACTGAGGGCGTCTAAATTCAGTTGTCGTCATCAAAACACGAACTCAAAAACCACTTGAGTGCCCCTTTAACAAGCCTTGCTCGGGTATTGACCTAATCCGGTAATGCACGCCGGCGCCGCGCCTCCAGCTGCAACCGTGAAAGACGAGGACACTCCGAGGGTTGTTGTTTTCATGTTGTCTGCCTTTAGTGAGTTATGACTCAAGCGGTTTGGGGGTTCCTGGAGAGGCGCCACTGGAATGACCTCGCAGCTGGGCGCCTGTTCCCATGGTCGCCTCGTCGTCAGCGCATACGCCTTTTCAAAGCCGGACTCCCCCGCGGACAAACGCAGACACGGATAATCCGTTCATGGAAGCACGTTCTCGCTTCCAGCTGCAATTGTACGAGCGACGATGCTTGTTTACGTAATCCCTCGCGTCCAATTCCGACCTTCCACGCCAGGGAGACCTCCTCTTTGTTTAGAACGATTTGCTTGTCAGGCGTGTAAGCTCGCCAGGATACCGTAGTCGCCGGCGACAATTGCGAGTCACCCTTGGGAGGGCAGCATCCGCCCTTTCGGACCCGGCGTCAGCGGCGAAGTATACTTCGTTTCATCTTCTGTTAAACCAAAACTATCTTTTTTTTCAGTATCGTAGCACTAGCACTGCAACGAGACGCGCAGTCGTCCGGACGATCTCATCGTCGCCGCGCGAGACTTGAACCCTTGACGGTCAGGTGCACGTACTCGTTCAGCGTACTTCCCGAACGTCGTGAGAATAAAGAGGGGCCAGTCATAACAATCTCAACTTGCCGAAGAAAAAAGAAAAAAGGAGGAGAGTTTGTTACAAAAGACCCTCTAGCCGAGGCAAACCTCACATGCTCACCCGACCCCGGCCTGTTTCTCAAATTCAACGCTGCCGTTCCATCCAGCGCGTTGGTGGAACATCTTTTTAGCTTGGTTGGGGACGTCTTAAGGAGGGAAGGGGGAAACTCTTCTATCAAGAACTTTAAAAGTCAATTGCTCCTGCGAGCGGATAAACTATTTTCGTGAAAACGCAAGCCATGAAGTGACTGCATTTATTTTAGACTCGCAGGGTTCTTCACGGATCAAAACTGTTGTTCATTTTGCTACCAGAAAAATATAAAAAAGTAACTTCGAAAGTAACTTCAAAGTAACTCGCTACTTTTTACAGCAGTTAGTAGTTTACTCAATTACTATTACAAATGCGTAATTTCTACTCTACTCTAATTATTTTTGGCGTCGAAACTCAGTAACTTAACTACCTTTTTTGAGTAATTTGTACATGCCTGCATTTTGTGAACAAGTCCAAATGGCCCATCAATGTTAACATGTGAAGCTACCTTAGGGACTCCCTGACCCGAGAACGCATGGCTGCCCAAAACTTCCATG